GGTTAATCGATTCATTTCTGCACAATCTAAAATATTTTTTATTACTTCCTGTTCCAAAGGTATTTTCTCTTGTTTCCAATTTTGAGCATAAACAATTCTTGCAGCTGTTATTACATGTATAATCAAATAAATATATTCCTTTTTAATTTTATCCGGTGGGATACCCAATAGGAACAACTCTGGTTTAAATTCAATACGTATTTGTGTCATTTCTTCCAGCCAAATTTTAATTTTATTCCAATAATTTTTTGCTTCAGGACATGTCCACCACATATGATAATAAGATACTGGTAGATGGTGACATTTCCAACATTTTGCTGATTTATCTTTAAACATTTTTGCTAACTTCTCCGGTGGCATATGCCATCTATAAAACATTTTATATTGGTTTTCCTTGTATGCAGTGGACATCGTTAATTTATAATTCCTTCCCCATACTTGTTGCCATTTTTCAAGATCAATTGAATGTCCAAAATTTCTTTCCTAAGCTATCGTTGTTTCTTTCACCTGTTCCTCCTCCAATTCAATATATAATAAAAAATTATATTTTTTTAATTAAATTTTCTTCTGTTCCTGTGAGTATCCTATCTAACTCAGTCTTTTCCAAATAAAAACCATGTAACTTAGCATCTTTTTCATATCTTGTTCTTATCTGCGTATACATATACCAATCTATCTCAATCACCTGTTCTTCCAGTTCTCGTTTCTCTTTCAATTCCCCCTTATCTGTTAACAAATCCTTATATCTAATAATATTTCCAAAATTAAAAACATTTGGGTGTATTAAACTTCCATTGTTGATAACCATATCAGTATTTTCACATAATATTTATCTCTAACCTTCTCCCAAACCAATAACAATGCATTTCTTATATAATGTCTATGAAAGTATGTATGTATTTTATTTCTACCATACCACAAAAAAGCATGCCAACCTAGTTGCAAATAATGCCCTTCCAAAATTAACAACCTTATATTTCTTAATTCAATCCATTTTTTCAACCATGTCAGTGTTGCTGCTTGGTAGCATAATTCCCAATTTGGTAACCCAAATCCCCCTCGTGACCTCGTATCTTGTAACATTTTCAAACTTATTCTTGCTTGAGCATACACTTATTAATAAATAATACTAAAATATCTCTCAGGAGAAGTTGGCTTCAGTAAGAATCAAGCTCTTTGTGTTGCTGTCATTATAAAATGGTTCTGCTGCTCCTATTTTGATTCGATACAAAAGGAAATTTCAACAGGTGCAATTTTTTTCAAATTTGTATTATAACTCTGTTCTTAACAATAACATGAACACATTTACGTTAGGTTCTTTTAAATTGGTCAAATTGTTTCAGATTATGGGAGCACTGAGAAGCTTTGACATCCTCAGTGTTTCCCATTTTCCAACTTCAGTCCTCTCCCTTTGAGTCTTCTTTAGATTGCAGTTTCTGGTTCTGGAAACTGGTCCTGGAGAATACCAGGGGGAGAGAGTGGAGGAAAGGGTAACAAAAGGGACAAAGTGACAAAAATAGTAGAACTTCAATTGCATGTTTACCACTGTCATCTTGACTCTTTTTTAATCCACTGCCCTAACAATATCCTTAGCTTGATCCTTGCTTCAGTTACCTGAGAAGGTCTTTTGAAATGATTCTATAGAGATTCTCAGTCATCCAGGTCATGGTTGTGTTGTTTCAAGAGGCAACCGGACTTTCTGGTTTTTCTTTGAAGACGTTTCGCTTCTCATCCAAGAAGCTTCTTTGGTCATGTCAGTCATCCATGTCAGTCACATGACTGAAGAAGCTTCTTGGATGAGAAGTGAAACGAAATGACTTGGATGACTCAGAATCTCCATAGATATTTAATTATGCATTCATCTCTGTATATTTAAAACTTTCTAGGGAACTTTTCTTGATAAGGAGAGGTTGGGAGATTGCTTACATGTGCTCCTGACAGTTTCTCTTTATATAAACCCATAGAATAGCAGCTTTCGGTGGGTTAGAGTATCAGAAGATGACAGGATTCACCATCTTGCTCACAACCATGGTGGAGTCTTTTAAAGGACATTAAGTTCACAATCCTCACTTTCTAATCACTTTCAGAAATTGCTAGTTAACTAAGCAGTTAGACACCTTTGGAACAAGTTTCAAAATGCCAGGTGAGTTATCCTATATGAAAGAAAAAATTATTCATGATCTTAAGTTAAAGAAGACAAAATAGCAAAAAGCCAAATATGTTATGTTATTTTAGAAAATTGTAAATGGACTAAAGCGTAGTTGAATTTGGAATATTGAAACTTTTACAATAAGACTTTGGAATTATGTATAAAGAACAAACAGCTTCTTGTGGGATGTAGATCTGTTTTGGTTTTTGGAAAATATAGCAGAGATAAATAATTTTATGATTTAAAATTTGGATACTCTAGGAAACTAAATATTTAGATAATGGAGAAAAAATGGAAACCTATAAAATGTGAAACATAATAACACTTAAAATACTGAAGAAGACATTTCAAGAATGAAATGAGAAATTAGTATGCAAGATATGAACAATGTCTGCTTCTGTGGATAGGTTATGTTCAAAAGAAATTATAAACATTGAACAAATTTTATTTGACAAGATAGTGATTGTATCAAAAGAAGATACCAGAAGGCCAAGGGAATGTCTTAAAAAAGCATTCTTCATTGAATCTATAAAATAAATTGGCTGATTACTTTTTCCTTTTAAAATTTAAATGGAAAATATAAATTATAAACCAAGAGAGTGACCTGGACTATTTTTTTCCTATTAAATTTACAAAAGAAGCTTGGTAAAACATTGAAAAATAATGTGCAATGTGACAAAGAAGAATTGAAATCAAATCTTTCAACAATATTTGAATGAATTGAAAAGGAAGACTGTTAAAAGTAAAAGATAGGAAAGTAAAGCTGGTTTATTTGATCAAGTTTAAAACACGGTTACTTCCAGCAATCCAAACCTGTAGGTAAATCCGCTTTATGGATTTGCCTATAGGTAAGACATGTAATATGGAATAATTGTTTGTAACCTTAGAGAGGGTGAAGAATCACATTTGTACATACTTGTGATAAAAGTTGGAAATCACTTCCTTATATATTTCTTTCCTCATTCTTCATCGTATTTGTCAGAATATTTTTGTATTCTTTTTTCTTTCTTCTCCCTTTTTTTTTCTTGTAACATTTATCCTTTATTTTTATTCCTTTTTTTTAGTGTACTAAATTTTATTATGATCAAAATTCTTAACAAGATTATATATCCACAGCTCTATATGTTAAAAACTATCCCAGCCTAAAATTATATCTAAATTACTACCTATTGAACATGCTTTCATAGCAATTTTCAGATGATAATGCTAAGCACCAAGCAGATCAAATTTCTTTTAGAAAAATAGCTATTTGTACCTGAGAAATTGCAATACAATACAGCTCTATGGGTATGTTTTTGTTGTATAAAAGACAAGCACACAAAGTGCAACTACTTCTAATTATCTGGTTGTGGACCCTTGCAATGCTTTTTTTTAATCACCTGGAGGCTTCCTTTTTCATCCTGTTCTCTTTATGGAATCTTAGCAAATTAAAAACACACACACACAATACTTGCTCCCTTGTTAAGCAACAACTGTTCTTCCAGTTGGGGAGGGGGGAATCCTGCTTTCCTCACCCCCAGTCACTAAGGTAGCAAGCAGGAAAATATTGTTTAGTCAGATTCATGCATAATAGGAACAAAGACATGCTACATGAACTTCATGTAGTCACTAGGAGTTTAAAATGTCTTGATGGCATATAATCAGCCAATTAGTGGGGTTTTTTTCATCAGGTCCCATGTCCTGCATAGCCTTATTTTTTTTAAAGATGGATTTAATTTTTAAAAGGTGAAATCTAGAATTGTTCAACTCAAAAGCTCTTTCTGTCTGCAGGATTGTTAATTGACCCGATCTGTTTTTTTACAAGCATTCCTTCAGGTCCCACACAGAGCTCTGAGGCTCTGAAAAATAAAGAACCGGTAACCACAATTCTTTTGTTCCCTTGAAAAATGGGGGGGGGGGAGGAACTAATTACAGGTAGTCCTCAACATATGACAATTGGGACTAGAATTTCAATTGCTAAAGCAAGGCAGTTATTAAGTAAATTGTGCCTGATTTAATGAGCTTTGTACTATGATTGTTAAGGAAATCACTGCAGCTATTATGTGATTTGTGTGGTTGTTCAGCAGAGTTGGCTTCCCCCATTGATTTTGCTTGTCAGAAACGAAGGTTGTAGTCAGATGATCCCATGAAGCTGTAACCATAAATACATGCTGGTTGCCATGTGCCCAAATTTTGATCACATGATCATGGGGATGCTCCTAAGTGTGAGGATCAGTTGTAAGTCCCTTTTTTCAATGCCTTTGTAACTTTGAATGGTTGCTAAATGAATAGTTGTAAATTTACTTATAACTTAGTTGTAAGTCTGGGGCGGTTGAAAGCAGTTGGCCTTTCAGTACATAGGGGCTTTGCATGAACTGTGTTGTAAAAAAGTGTTGACCACAAGAAAGTAGCAAATCAATAGAGACAGAAAACTCTTTGCTTCCATCTAATAGTTGCCTTTATTTTAACACCCCAGAGAATTTCTCAACTTCAGCAACTTATGTTGTGTGGCTTCCAACTCCCAGAATTCTCTGGAAAGCAGAATTCTGGGAATTGAAGTTCAGACATCTTAAAAGTTGCTGAGGTTGAGAAAAACTAACAGATCATCTAAGTGATCTTTCTAAAGTTTCCTGGGTCCTTCAGGCCCAAAACTTTGCCAACTCTTCAATGTTCTACGGATGATTTGTTTTTGAACTGATCCTTGCATTGACCACCTTATTGATTAGGCCAAAGGTTACATTTACCCCTCCATTCCAGCCAAACTGAGGGCTGGGGGGGCTTTTTATCAGTGTGTACATATTGATGGGGAGTACTATATTTTAGCAGCCTTTTAATTTAGTCCTTTGGCGATTATCTCCTATTTTCTCTCCAGGATCTACCATGTGGAGCTTTTTATGTCTTCTTTTCCTGTTCAAAATTCTAGTCCCTAGTTTTGCTGCCTCCCTCCATAGACAACCTGACCAGGAACAGATTGAAGAAGGTAAAAGAAACTGGAAATGGGGGATTTGTTATCCAAATTTAGTAGCAGATTTAAGGAGAAGGAAGCTTGCATGTTCTGTATATAGAATATTAGAAGATGTTAAGACTAGGCAATAGAGCCAGAGAGCAATATTTTGGACTCAGAGACAAAATGTTTTGTTTTGTTTTGTTTTTTAAGACATGGGGACATTCAAATAACTCCTATTTACAGAACAAAATGTCTATTTTCCCAGGATTGCGTGATAGCTGTAGAAGGTGGCCATACAGTAGGGGTGAAATGCTACTGGTTCGCTCCGGTCTAGGAAAACTGGTAGTGATAAAAACTACTGGTTCAGGTGAACCAATAGGGAAAAAAAGCTACCGGTTTCTCTGAACCGGTATTTCCGATGATCAGCTGTGAAGCGGGATTTAGCTTTGCTAGAAAGCATGAAACTAAATCGCACACCACAGCTGATCACCCCTTCCCTCGCTGTTCTACTTACCTTCCCAAGCCTCCTTTTGGCGCATACTGCACATGCGTGTGCACACAGCACACACCAAAAGGAGGCTTGGGGAAGGTAAGTAGAACAGCGGAGGGGGTGGGAATCACCTGTGCAGCGGAGTTTAGCTTTGCAAGAAAGCAGGAAATCCTGCTTTCTAGCAAAGCTAAATTGCGCACCACAGCTGATTCCTCCCTCGCTTCTACTTACTTCCCAAGCCTCCTTTGGTGCGTACTGGGCATGTGAGTGTGCACACACCGTGCATTTGATGCGCACTGCACATGTGCACGCAGCATGCATTTGGCATGCAGTATGCATGCATGGCCAGTAAACCGGTAGCAAACCAGTTCGGATTTCCCCACTGCCATACAGGGTTAGGAAAAGACAGAGGTGCTTTATAGGGTGGACATCTCAAAGCACCTTTTCCCCTGAAATTCACATCCTGACTATAGAAATGCCAGTTAATTTTCTCCAGTCTCCTTCAATATACTTTAGATTCTACAGCACTGCAACAAACAAAAGCACAGTCACTGTGCTTCTACTTTAACTTTACTTTATTTTTACTTTATTTTGGATTTATATACCGCCCTACTCCCGAAGGACTCAGGGCGGTAAACAGCCAAAGAATAAAACACACATAATACAAAATTTAAAAAACAATATAAAAACACATTAAATAATTTGGCCCACACAGATTAAAACAGCCCTATTGTTTTAAAACAAATTTAAAATTAACAATTAAAAGGAAGTTAGGCCAGGCCAGCCTGTTGAAATAAAAAGGTCTTGAGGGCACGGTGGAAAGTGCGTAAATCCGGGATCCTCCGTATCTCCGGGGGGAGCTCGTTCCAAATGGCAGGTGCCCCCACAGAGAAGGCTCTCCCCCTGGGGGCCGCCAGTTGACACTGTTTGACCGACGGCACCCTGAGGAGCCCCTCTCTATGGGAGCGTACTGGCAGGTGAGAGGCTACTGGTGGCAGAAGGCCAGAAGTACCCAGGTCCTAAGCCATAGAGCGCTCTAAAGGTGGTAACCAAGACCTTGAAGCGCACCCGGAAGACCACCGGGAGCCAGTGCAGCTTGTGCAGGAGAGGTGTTACATGGGAACTCCACGTCACTCCCATAACCATCCGCGCGGCCGCATTCTGAACCAGTTGGAGCCTCCGGGTGCTCCTCAAGAGGAACCCCATGTAGAGAGCATTCCAAGCATTCCCAAGTAATAACCCAATATCCATTTTCTTAGATGCAAATGCTCCTGAAAACTAGGGGTCATGAATGGTAGAATGAATGTCCTCTAAAAGAGCCTTCACTAAACCAATTTTATTAAAAGACATTTAGATATGGCTGCTCTTTTTTTTAAAAAAAATTGTATTATGGACTATAATAAAAAAGGGAGTGAGGGAGTTAAACTGCTGTTCCTGAATGTTGAAGCAAAGTAGGAATCCTATAAAGTCATTTACTTAAAGAGATCATTGTTCAAAGATGCCCAGTGATGATTTCTTTAGTTGCTCAAAGTTGCCCAATATTCCTGAGAAGGGTGTGCAATCTGCAAACTAATACTGCCCTTGACACCTAGCATATGGAGTTATGGGTTTGGTCCTAATTTCTAATCTCTAAGAGATTGATTCAGGGTTTTAACAAGAGTAGGTTGCCCTTATCTACAATAGGTTGGCAAAAAGGGGAGGAAGTTAGAAAACTAGGGAGGAGAGGAAGAAGGGTAGAAAGAAGATGGATTTCTTCATTTGTACATCTGGATAGCTTCTACCTGCCTGTCATAGCAGCCCAAGGTTGCCTGAACTGGGAAGACCCATTTAAAGACCATCCCCTCCCATAGTTTCTCATGCATTTTCTATCTAGGGCAAGACAAACACTTTGGTCATTTCTTCCCCAATTGCTACATAAATGCTATTCTGATTAGACCTCAGAGCCACAACAGGGAAACTGTGGCAGTCTCATCCCTGGGCATCAGTCTGACAACCTTCCTTGAGCATGTGTTTAAACATCTTTGTGAAACAGTGCATTTTGGCAAAATGATGTGGGCGGACCATGGACCAGTTTTCAATCTGTTACCTGGCTTGTCCTATATCTCACTGTTCTATTTCATCTAATAATGCATAATTATTACATAAATTCCTCCCTAAATGAGGTAATTGGGACCAGAATTTCCATTACTAAACCTTGCAGTCATAAAGCATGACATCATGTGATTGTGCCATTTAGCAATGGTAGTTCCAGCAATTCTATTTATTGATGTTAAGTGAATATGATAACAGTTGTTAAGCAAGGACCTCACATGACTGCAACTTCTGACTTCCTACCAGCTTCCAGGAAATGAGCAGAGAATGTCACAAATTGTGATCACATGACCACTGAGGTGCTGTGACAGCCGTAACTTTGAATACTGGTGGTAACTACCACTCAGCACTGTCGCAATCTCAAATTGTCACTGAATGAATGATTATTAAACAAGGATCACCTGTACTTGCCCTCATGTAGTGATTGCCTTGTTTAGTGATTGCTTGCAGTTACAATGGTGGTAAAAAAAATTAACTTTACAAACAATCTTCACATTTAGAATCTTTGCAGATCTGTAAAACAAAAGTTGAAGTAAGATTGTAAGCAGTTGCAATTTCATTCATCCCTGCTTCACTTAACTGTTGTGTTGTTGGTCGCAGTTGCAGTTGCTAAACAAAGATTACTTATAGAGCCATCTTATCTATTCTCGTAGGTTATCCTGAAGGATGTATCTGTCACAGAAAAAAAAGTTTGCTAATCTTTGCTCCATTTTCTACATCTGGTCTCTTCTGCTTTAAACATGCAATGTAGCTAAAACCAGCAAGAGGCTGCCTCAATAACTGCCACAGTACAAGCTGTCTGCACATCTCCTCACAATACTAATGATCCATCCACTTCACAAATAACCAACAATTAGTGCTTCTCTGAGTCTTGCAGAACCACATTCCATATGCGGCAGGGAATGCAGAGTGAGGGGGGAAACGTAATGCCTTCCCAGAAAGAGCAAATAATAAGCTTTTGAGTGGTTCGAAGCTCTTTCCTAAAGGAAAGGCTTGGGATTGTGACTGGAAGTAAATTACAAAGACTTATTCATAGTGTTTATGATGGGATCATCTGGAAAGATCTGATAATAGAGGAAGGAATAGAATCTTATAGGCAGAATAGTCAGCACAGGGTTCTCTCCCAAACGCCCCCAAATCTCCAGTCTGTTTACATATGAATGGGGTTACCCAAAATTTATTTGATTTATAACTGCTGCTTGTACCAAAGTCAAACTGGCAACAACCCATCCTTTCGTCTTTCTTGTACAAGATTGTTCTCTTCCAAAATACAAAACATTTGCTAGACCAATTCTTGAATACAGCTCATCTGTCTGGAACCTGCACTGCATATCGGACATAAATACAATCAAGAGAGTCCAGAGAAGAGTCCTCCATTCCTCTACCTGCAATAAAATACCTTATGCCACCAGACTCTAAATTTTGGTCTTAGACAACTTAGAACTACGCCAATTTCAGTCTGACCTAAGCATAGTACATAAAATTATCCGCCACAATGTCCTTCCTGTCAATGACTACTTCAGCTTCAACCACAACAATACACAAGCAAATAATAGATACAAACTCAAAGTAAACTGCTCCAAACTTGATTGCCGAAAATATGACTTCAGTAACAGAGTGGTCAATGCCTGGAATACACTACCAGACTCTGTGGTCTCATCCCAAAACCCTCAAAACTTTAACCTTAAACGTCTACTGTTGACCTCACCCCCATTCCTAAGAGGCGTGCATAAGTTCACCAGCATGTCTACCATCCCTGTCCTAATATTCCTTTTTACTTACTCTTTTCATATATTCAAATTATGTTTATATTTTTACCTGTTATCTTATATATGGTTGACAAATAAACTTATGATTATGATTATGAATGTAATCTCATTTCAGTACTATTGGTAGGAGAGTATTATTCTCCAGATTTCAGGATTATGAGAAAGGCTGGTGGAACTGTTTTCCTGCAGAGTAAAATGGCTGGAGAGTAGGAGAAAGGGTAAAACAGCTGCTGCTGATCCTACAACAAATGCTGTCTCAAAAACAGGAGTAGATTATCTGCAGGGATCATGTGATTTCCAGTCCACTTTGTTAGATGACCTCCGCTCCCCCCACCCCATGAAATTATGCAGCCAAGTTTTGTTGGCAATCTATTGAAAAACACTGGTGTGGTTTCCTGACTTTTTTTTTTTTGGCAGGAAAACTGTAAAATTGATGCGTTAGCTTTATTTAAATTTAATATCTCAAAAATATTCTCTAAATCCTATTGGGAATAAAAAGTAACATAAATGTCACTTCTCACTGTAGCACTTGGTTGCTAAAAAAAGAAGCATTTCCTTGAAGAAATGTAACTTCTAGCGAATCAAAGTTTACCCATTGTTATAGTGTCTTAACGGTATAGCTCAGGGATGTCAAACTCGCAGCATCACTTCGTGATCGAGTGGGCATGGCCAGCGCGCAACACATCTGGCTCACGGGCCATGAGTTTGACGCCCCTGGTATAGCTAGTCCTTCTGAAATTCTGCATTTCTTTACTTCTATTCATGTTCCCTCTGTTAGGGAGTAAAAGGGAGTTGGATGGAAATAAAGTCTTCCTGTCATCAGTCAACACTGCTAGATGGCATTCCTTTCTCAGATATTTTAGTAATTCTTGGGTTTTTTTATTTAACAAGCATCTAGCTCTGCAGCATAACAATATAGAACAATATTTCTCAACCTTAGCAGCTTGAAGATTTATGGATTTCAACTCCCAGATTTCTGGGAGAATTGAGGAATTTTGGGAGATGAAGTACACACCTCTTCAACACTGCTGTAGAACAATGTTTGCAACCTGGGCAGCTTCCAGATTCTTGGACTTCAACTCCTAGAATTCTCAGTAATTGCCCTGCCAGAAGGGAGTTCTGACTTTTGAAGTCTATACATCTGAAAGTTGTCCAGGTTCAGAGGCATTGCTCTAGATCTTATACGCTTTCTCTGAGAACTTCGTGCCTGCTCTGAACTTCAGGATAATGTCTGCTGATTCCTGTTCCCAGTGTTCCTGGATGCCACTTCTGCAAACAAATTCTTGAGCCGTAAGATTCTTCATAACCACTGGGATTTCGAGCTGATTGTGCCAGATAACTTGGAGCGTGAATGCAGAGAAGAAGTTTGCAACTATGAAGAAGCTCGGGAAGTCTTTGAAGACGACACACAAACAGCTGAGTATGGGGAATTGGATGGGCTTAGGATGGCCACTTAAATGTCATAAAAAGAGGACATGCCCCCCAAATCAGATATTTATTTATTTATTTGTTTGTTTGTTTGTTTATGTAGTGTACTTACTACTCAATTTCAAAAAGACTCTGAGCAGCTTACAGTAAAACAGAAAGCACTAAAAGAAAAAGAAACTAATTAAATAGCTCAAACCATTGACATCTAGCTACTGACACACCAAAGCAAACATTACTAACAATAAATGTTCCTTTCATTGAGGGAACTCTCTGTATTATCTCCCTGATCTCTAGTAAGGTTGGTGTTGACCTGATCTTGGATGGAGCATTGTTCCAAAGGATGTATAAATATGAGAAACTTAAAGGAAATGTAACATATCTTGTATTAAAAGGAAGAGATTAACCAAAGGTCCTGTTATTAGACATCTTTACGCTCTTTGTTTTTCTCTTTTTTATTTTTAAATTGGAAACTCCATTAAAGAATGCAGGTTTTCAAATGGAGGACAACCTTTATAAACTTGAAGAAATGGCCATCTTAGCCTATAAGTATATTATTTCTATGAAGCAGAGTTTTCCCCAAAGCATACTCTTTATATATGCATACTTAAATGTCCAGAATTCTCAGTAATTGCCATGCTAGCTGGGGAATTCTGGGATTTGAAGTCTACAATCTAGAAATGGGCAAGTTTGAGAAATTTTTCTTTAAAGTACTATATTGCAATTTTCAAATTATGGTTTGCTGATGTTGCACTTTTGACTCTGTGTCACACTAGTAACTATCCTCTTGATTTAGAGTAGCCAAAACTAGTCATCCCTAGACTACTCTTCTCTGAAGAGAGTAGAGTACAATTTTCAGAACTTCCATTCAGTAGAGCACATTTGGCAGGTACCAGATTGAAAACACTGAATTTAGGTATAGTGAATATCTTAGTACCAAGAAGCATTTATTTGCTTATTTTACAAAACGTATTTATTCTAAAATGTAGATGTTTCCCAGACATAATTTAGCCAAAATAATAGTTAATGAAATATGGATGTGAAGTTTGAGTGCAAATTTGGTTATTTGTTAATCATAATTGGAAATCCTGTACTGAACTGGGCTTACAAAGCATGATGTCTAAATGAACAAAGATACAATAGTTATAGCTGTCCTGTGACCCTAAGCACAACAATGTGAGTTTATAAAGCTGTGAGAAGATGGAAAGTTACAGTAGACAAATCATTCTAAGCCATGGTTTGAATAGCAAACCATAATGACCATAATCATGGTCAGGTGAGACATCTGAACTGGAGAGTAATTCTTTCGGCTTCTTAAATTTTAAATGTCTAAACATTTAAAGTTTTGTGGGGTTTTCAGTACTCTTGAGTTTCGTAGTTTTCTGACAGATGCTTCATTATCAAGATAGGTAACATCATCATTGTTTCAAATAATCAGATTTCAAATATCAAATTTAAAGCTTTTTCTCTATTCCATACATTGGCTCAGCAGAAAGTAATATTTATAGGCATATATATGCCAACGTTCAATATCCAAATTCTGTTCAATAGCCTGTTCAATAGCCTGTTGAACAGGAGTGCTGATTTACCACTTTATCAAATACTTAGAGGGCAAGAGGGCTTGGCAGCAGACGCAAGCAACAATCAAGGACTTTAATAGCCAGCATCAACACCCCAATCAACAACTAAACCTACAACAGGCACCATATAAATACCACACACAGAACAGCCTGAAGCACACACTTTGCTAGAGAGAAGTTCCTTGAAGATGCACTCTAGTATAAGTCTGAAAGCTCAGAAGACAAAACCGCTGGTCCCAATTGGATCCTGCAATATTATCCTGGGACACATGTATTTGACTTCATTCGTATTGAATATACCGTTGCATCAGATGTAACAATCATGTCAACGGTCATAGATCATGGTTTAGGATTATAAAAATGAGGTTCAACACTCTTTTCCTTGGGCTTGAATGCAAAGAAAAAAATGGAAATTTCTACTTGTATTTTAGACTAATAGCACTTAGCACTTTGTCATTTGAATCTTAAATACAAGTTAATCATTACTGTGCTTTGTTGAAACAAGCCAACTTCAGAAGTTGTAGCTTTATAGAGTTGGCCATTTCAGATAGTCCATTTTAAGGATTACTGTCAGGTTCAGATTACATTGTAAATTTCTGTTCCTTTAACAAAGAGATTTTCAATTCTTCTTTCTGATTGTATGTTAATAGAGAATAAACCAGCAGGTGCATAGAGAGACCTATAGTTAATCACTATTGCTGGCTGTCCCATTAAAGTTTTTTTATTTTATTTTATTTTATTTTATTTTATTTTATTTTATTAATTTTCTATACCGCCCTTCTCCCGAAGGACTCAAGGCGGTGTATAGCCAGAAATAAAACCATGACAATAGAAAAATTAAAAACAAGTTAAAACAATTAAATCAATTGGCCGAAAATTCTAATAAAACAACCAAAGCTGCAAAATAAATTAGTTCAGCGTTCTCCAACTTTTCCAGCTCAGTGGGCCAGCGGAGATGGCGGCGGTAGGATGGTTTCACGTGTGTATGCATGCCACTTTCACAAACACAGCTGCCTGTGCATGCACCAAACACCCGTGTGCTCTCCAACACTTTCACGGCCTGGTTCCGAATGGGCTGTGGCCAGGAAAGGGCCACAGACTGGGGGTTGGGGATCCCTGACTTAGTTGACTAAGTCAGTTCCCCATGTCAGATTTTTGTGGAGAATTCAAAAGAGATAGATTCATTGTGTAAGCCATAAGCAAGATCTCGATTGAGATCTTGATTGATCGTTCCTAAACGCTACCAGGGGAATCTCTGGCCTGAAAAGGTGGGAAGTGAAACCAGCATGAATGGAAAACTCCTAATATAGCAGTCTGAAATGGTTAGCAGAGAAACAAATTATGGCTAAGTCCCAGATTGTTTTGTATGAATCAGGTCATATGTGTGTCAACATACAAGGAAAACAGTTTGGGCAGAATTTTTTGAGGTTTCTATAATGCTGCTGTATATCTCAATTTTATTTATCTTGTTTTAATAGGTTGATACTTCACTTATAATATAATGGATAAATAAACTAAGTTTCACAAAATACAGCAGGTGGTTTCATCCATCCCAGTAACTCTTTACTAAACAAGCCACATTACTGTTTAACATAAAATGTGGACTTAGTCATTAGATTACTTTTCCTAGTGGAAAATGTACAATCCACCAACCTCTTTCTGACTAAATAAGTTGCTATATTGGGAGTTATATTGGTGGTGTCACTCCACACCAGCCTCTATCTTCCCTTCAAATCTTTCTATGTTGTTACAAATTGGTGTTTGTGGAGACACACCATTTCACTAATAAAGGATATTCTCAGTCAGTCTTTCCCAGCCAGCAGGGGGGGTTATATCAATATAATCTGGTAGGAACTGGACAAAGGATTTTTTTTCTAGGGACAGAGACTGACAGTATATAATTTGCCTCAAATTAACTAACTCTGGCTTTTTCCAGGCCAGCTTTCCAGGCCATTTTAGTCTCCAGGGAAATTCCAGTGCATGCAAACATGGATTTGAATGCACTCTGATTGGCCCCTAGAGAGCTAAATGCATCCAATAAAAATTATTTGAAGCTAATGTATTGGTTTACTTTAATTCTATTTTGATATTAATGTTTGTAAGGTTAATGTTGTAAGCTACCCAGAGTCACCTCTAGAAGAGATGGGTGACACACAAATCAAAGAAAGAAAGAAGAAAAAAAGAAAGAAAGAAAGAAAAGAAAGAAAGAAAGAAAGAAAGAAAGAAAGAAAGAAAGAAAGAAAGAAAGAAAGACACATTCATTTTGGGACATTATTTTTGTGAATAAGATTAAAATAGTAACAATTATCTTATTAATTGCTTTGCAGTGTTCAATTTTATGTTTTTAACTTAGTAAAATTTGTTTTCTACTAACCTGTTCTCAAAAGCAAAGTGCAACTAGTTAGCAATCATACTGCTGGTCAATAAATAAAAATATTTAAGACATTTAAATTATAGTAGGTAATTGGTTAGCAACATGACATTTCCCATGATTTTTTGCAGATGAATATTGGTTTAATGATGGGACTGTTGAACAATGCTGGGCCAGTAGCCACATTAGATTTTTGTGGTAATAGAGGTTATGGTTCCTGCTCCAGTATATATGTTAATTTCAGAATGTTAGGATGATTATGTATTCTCTATGACTATTATGATCATTATATTTTTCCATTTAAATTTTAATTGACTTGTCAGATCTCAACTGAATTGTCATATTACTGCTATTTTAGTATACTAATGAGCCTTGTCTATAGGAGATAATGATTTATGCATCCAAGGAAATTAGCTGTAGTTCAAGGAACAATAAATCTAATAGTTTTTAAGGCACAGCTACATAAACAGGACTAACAAGCCACATGCAACATCCTTCTCGACCCCCATTTTTCTGTGGATCTTGACTCTGAAATGCAGCACAGCAGAACACATATGAAAACAAGCGTGAGGCATAAAACAGGTTTTAGAATATATTTAAAATAATAATAATAAAAAAGAAATAAACCCTCTCATCCAATTGAGTGTTATGGATTCATTTATTCATTCATTCAATTTTTATAACAATTTTTATTGCAAGCCACCCAGAATTGCTTTGCAGAATGAGATGGGAAGCATATAAATATAAGTAATAAATCAATAGATGCCTCTAGCCACTTTCATGTAGTGATTAGGTTGCTGGCCTACAAACCAGAATCCTATGAGCTCTAGGCCTGCCTTAGGCATGAAAACCAGCTGGGTGACTTTGGGCAGTCATTCTTTCTCAGCTCAACCAACCTCATAAGGTTGTTGTTGTAGGGAAAACAGAAGGCAGGTAATAGCTACCAAAGGATTCCAGTTAACACAGGACTCTGTTTTTTTCAACAATGCTACACATACAACTATTCCATATGCTGAGTATTATTTATAAAGAACATGGAAATTCTTTTGAAAGGTGCATTTTTGGAGACATGAGATCTATTTCTGTAGTGCCTTCATGTTCATGTACAGGCAGGCAGCTAAGAAGGCTGGTGCTTGATTTATATTTATAGGTTGAACAACTCATTAAGATACAGCAATGCAATATCTTATGCAGTCTTTCATGTGCATCAGGTAATATATTTCATAATTCCTGTGTATAATCATATGGATGATGAAAGTTTAACTCTCACACATTTACAAGACATGGAATTGGATAAGACTGCATTATCAAGCACATCTTCCACTCTGCATATTTATAGTAATTTGTATAATTTGCATATCTATCACATTCAATAATATAATTTACTCTATATGCTAGATAGTTTTCAGCACCTGGATGGAGAAAGAACGCCTCTTTGTGGATTGGTATTTATTTACTGAAATAGAGAAGTTGTTTGCTTTTTTAAAAAGAAATGGTCAGGTTTTTTTTAACCAAACAGTAAAATATTTGATTTTCAAACATTTGTGAGTTTATTATAGACTGATTACTGTATTTATTGACTGTTGCAGGTTTTCTTTTCTTATAGGATGGTGCCCTCTAGTGTACTTCTTATGGATTGCAATTATTAGATTCAAGTCAAGATTCCTGAGAAATCTGGCCCCATGGGATCACAGTATAGCAATTTTCTTGTGTCCTAAAATAGAGAAGGCTATAGAGCAACTATGCTGCTGATCCTCCCCAATACCATTTTAATTTTCTACATGTCTCTGACTTATTGTCGTTTTGGGGTAGTGTACAATATTTAAAAGATAGTTGCCATTGGAGAGAATTTCCCTGAGGATGGGCTCCAGCACGAGTCCAAAAGCTCAGAAGACTAAACCTCTGGTCATTGTGGCCATCCCAGATTGGATCCTGCAATATTATCCTGGGACATCTACATTTGCCTTCATTCATGAAAGGTAGTTGGGTCCAGGTCCCCAAAACAGCATCACCACAGGCAAATAAGCCCTTCAAGACTTAGTTTGCTGTTTTGGAGCTAAAGCTGTGTTTTTCCCCTTTAGCAACCAGGAAGCCATTGTACAAAATTATATCATGAGTACAATAGAACATGCTTCATTCATCATTTTATTAATGGTGCTATCGGATAACTCCTAGGTAATGGGATCTGCTCAGTACTTATTGGCTGCTTTAGTCTCCTATGGGAATGCCCTCTCCCTCTGGGCCCTGGGTATTGTTGCATTTTGAACACTGGGAATCAGGCTTACTTTTGTTCCTGGAGGGCCTGGATCAACGAAACAGCAGTTGACCAGCAGTGGCAGTAGGGAATGTATCCAGCATAGAGAGAGAAAGATCCTCTGCAAATCCCATCCTTCAACTTATGAACTATTATTTGGACTGCCAAATGTTCAGGTCGATCCAGGTCTCCAAATCAGGCTTTGGCTGAGAGATGTGAGGCCACACAGTGGTCCTCCTTTCCTGCATTATCTGTTTCCTCTTGCAGTGCCAACATTTCCCAGCTGGGTGAGGTGGCAGGTGAAGGGTTGGTTTGACAGAATGTTGAACTCATAGGTCTGGCCAACTCTCAAAATGAGTTTTAAAAAAACAACACAGCAGTTCCTGCTTCAACTCAGAGCCTAGGCAATTGGGATTGACAGTGAGGAGAGCAAAATCTAGTCTAGTTTAGTTTCTGCTATTTCACACATAGGACGAGAAACTTTAAGCAAAGAGCCCAAGGACATTTGTAGAAGATAGTGATTACCTTCTACAACAGAAGACAATAGAAGTAATTTTTGTTATGTTTTGTTGGACACTCAGAAGCTTTTGATACTACCAAGCAAGTGATTTAGAGTCAGGCAACATGAGATAGAATAAAAAAACAAACAATGACTTTTATTATCATATTAACATTATTCCCCTATTTTGATATTCCTTCCAGAAAAAATTTTGGGAGGCCTATCTACGTGAAAAAGGAAAAACAAGTAAGTAAAGGCTACAAAAAGGGTACAAAACAGCAATGGGATGTTCCATATATTTGTGTTTTCCAATGCTGCATTATCCTTCTTGAATCAAGTGTTACCTTTATAGGTAACTAATAACTTCTATGGACTTCTAAAATCTTCCAACCACTATTGTGTATATAACGGCAACAAGGCTGGGCATTCTGCTCCTTCTGCGTTAATTAGGTGACAAAAGACTTTCCAGTTTCTTGAGGTAATGTTGTCCACTACATCCCTCCATGTAATAAGAATTTTGCTGCCTCATTATTAAACCTCATACTGCCTCTGCTGCCTTTGCTTCAAGTCACTGCAGCCACCTGCCTTCCTTTCAAAGAAATGAATTATAAGGCCTAAAAGTTTTTGTCATATTCTAAAGCAGAGGTCTCCAAACTTGGCAATTCTAATACTTTAAGCACGGCTGGCTGATGAATTCTGAGAATTGAAGTCCACAAGTCTTAAAGATGCCAAGTTTGTTAGACGCCTGTTAGTGCTTAGAGGTAGTCCAGACAAGAAGTGCAACTATTAATATTAACTTTATCTTTATTGTAAGGCTACATTAACAAAATCTTGCACAACAAAGTATTTCTCCCCTTCTCCCTATTACTCTCCAGAGAACTACTGAGGGTTCCTTCTGAAATTCTTTCCATGCCTCTTCTTCTTCTGTGGACTGAGAAATCTTTTATATGCAGGTGTCTGCAGTTTTTCCTCCTATTTACCAAGGTCATTCTCAGATACCATTAAAAGCTGCTCTTGGATAGTGGCAGCTTAAGCAAGAATACTGTGCTTCAACTCTTGATGTTTAAGTCATTAGTCTTCATGGTCTAAGGACAAGATGCAACAAACATTGTGGGAACACAGCAGCACAAAAATGTTGCCACATGTTGTTTGTACTCGGTTAGATGCTAATGGGGAAAGGCTATAAGATTATATAAGATGGCTTTATTGTAGTGTCTTCTAATATAACCCAACCATTGCTATGCTCAGAAATATCAGCAAAAAAGAGAGGCTTTATATTGCTACAACAATGGGTGGGTGAAACTATAAATTACAAGTTGGGAAGTAGCCTCACTGGAATGAAAATGCCACGGTTCAGTTCCTCTACCCTCCATTCTCCAAATGCCTCTGAATGAGATCTGTAGCCTCAAGACAAAAAAAAGCAATGCTGGTTGAAGGGTATTAGAGTACTCTACTGTAATGGGGAAACACCTTGCCCTATCACACCTTTTCCACTCTAAAAAGGTGTGCTTATACAACTTTCTCCTGCTTAATCAAGTAATTCATCCTAAAACTCTATGTTGACGTAGGTAATCTGTTCTCCACCTCATTGCATGCCATATATTTATACCAGATCAACCAATTCAGACTGTAATTATTGCAAGTGGGGCACTAATGTGACAGATAATAACTTTTGGGGAATTCTCAATGATTATCATTATTGTTTATGATTAAATTGGGTAACATTTTGATGATTGGGGGTTACACATTTTTTTCACAAGAGAAAACTGCATTGAAAGGTAGGGAGGAAAGTGTCCGAGACATTCACAATAGCTGAGCCAAGATTCTCCATTTCTGCAGGGTGCTTCCTTTCCTTTTTAAAACCAGTTTAAAGATATTTTAGGACATATATTGCAATTTCCATGTATTTCCCATCCCAGACCAAGAAAACCAAAATTGCTGATTCTCAACACTGGTGCACCTACAATTTGGCAACATTTGGCAAGAGGGGGCTTTGGGATCTCAAAAAGTATGGAGGACATACCTGTGAGCCATCCTTATATCCAGACTGTCCTGACAAATTTGACCTGGAGCTAAAGCTTCTGTTCCAGGTTTATTCCAATACCAATGTGATCCAGACTTTTACCCCAAGATTTTCCAGTTCCAATCTCCTGTTGTTTTAAGTGACAAGAGTCCCAGTAACCCTTCCTGTCTACCTGTTTTCATAGAAAATCCTGGAATAGATGTGGCAGGTCTGGTGGCTGGCCTGATTGCAGCTTTGGTGTCTATTGTCATGTTTATAATTGTGGCCATGTATTGTATCAAATATCGGGCTAAAGAGAGAAATCGATCCAGGTATGTATCAGGATCCACCGGGAGATGTTTTGCGCCCACCTATGAAATAAAGGGCATGAAAGGGGAACATAATTCTAGCACTTTGTCACCAACTAAACATGAAGTCAAAAGCATTTGATTCAGGATTAACAGTTGCATCAGTGAAAAGAACAACAGTATTATGGGGATTTATATCAGCCTTCTTCAAACATGGCTGACCTCTAGAGGAATTAAACTATAAAACTGATCATTTTTAGCTGCATGCATATTTTCCAAAATGAATGTCTTTTTGAAGTTAATGTTTTTATGCAGTTGTTAAAAATACATTGTTGAACTACAGTTTCCAGCATCTGCTTCCTGCATAAATCTTTCATGGATATTACATGAAATTATTTTTTGAAATTGATTGTTTTCTCAACTTTTTTCCTATAGTGAGTTATTGGACTAAAATTCCCTTAATTTCCAAACAGACTGTATGCTTTCTAAACAGCTGGTGAAAAGTTTGCTAATTTTTTGTTTTGATTAAGTTAGGCTTACAGACAAAAAGCCTGTGAATTGTTCTAGTTTTGTTTTGTTTTTTACCTCCGTCTCCATTTCTTTTTAGAAGAACACAGGATCCAGGGATTCCCCTTGCCAACTTTGATGATGAGCCCAAGCCAGAATCTGCACCTGGACTTCCTTCTTATGAGCAAGCAATGGCATCTTCAGGAGTTCACGACGCACCACCCCCACCTTACAACAGGTAGAATTATAATTGGGATCCTACCTCAAAATTCTAACATTATCTAGGGATTGGGAACCGGATATAGATGGAAAGGAAGGTTTGAGACTCAGGCTGCCTAAAGAGAGCAGTAAAGATCAAGATCCCATCTGAACTGAACCTTGGAAAACATTAGATTATGCAAAGCCTTTTTCCCATGGAAAATCTGCATGAACCTGCAAGAGACCAAAGATCTTTGTTCTCAAGAGGAAAGGTAGTACTGGAGTTGACAGGAAGTTCAGAATCACCAATAGAGCTTATGTTAGCCTCCAATGCGGGGGTGGGAAAGTGCAGATGTTGAACTTCCAGGAATCTTCATCCCCTAACTCTGCTGGCTGGAGCTGATGGGAGTTGTAATTTAGCAACATCAAAAACGTATGTGAATAGGGGTGAAGGCACAGGTTTCCCTTCTCTGTGTCTAGGGAACTGGCAGAAAAAAAATATCATTCTCCTCAGGAGAGATTAGATTCATTCACTCTACTTCAGTCAGCAAGAGAGAATAACTTTAAAATTACCAATTCTCCCCACTCCAGGCAATATGTGTATAATACCCTCCATCTCTTCTAGACTTCTGCTCATTAGCAATTTTGCTTTGATCCATTAACATGTAGTTGCTTGCTCCAGTTTCAGTTTCTGCACTATTTATGGATCATGGATTCTGTCCAGAGCTCCACAAACCTAAAGGACAGAAGAATTTGCTATTTTTCAGCAACAAAAAACTTTTCAGAATGTACCGCCATTGGGGAAATCCATATATACTACACAGAGCTCCATGCAGGTAGAAAACAAATGTGACATGATTAAAAGTGACATGAATGCCAGGCTGTTACCACAATATGAAACGGCAGCAGAAAATGTAACTTTCATCTGGCATTGGCTCTGGTTGCTAAACTGAAAATTGAAAAAAAAAACTTCAATATTTGTCTGGGTATGGAGATGCACACGTACACATGAATACATGAAAATAACAGCATCCTTTTCTTTAATTAACAGTATAAAATTGGTGGGATCATAAAAATTCTAGGATGCTGTGCACTGTAGGGATAGGGTATCAAAAGTAGTAATTGGGTGTTATTTTTTTAGGATCAACTAAAATGTTAATAAAGAAGCAAATTTTCCAGCACACCTTTTCTTCAGGTGGGATAGCGTTGGTGTGGTTACCTAGCATATTTAAGCTACTGCTAGATTTCTAGTTCCACATCCTTGAATACTCTGGTGGCAGAAATAGCAATTTAAATTACTCACAATGTCGTCATTGCAAGGTTACCATGAAATATTGCACATAACTTAAATTAGTATTTGCTCCTGCCACCAGTATCAGATCAGCTCAGGATCAGCAACACTAGAGGCACTAGAGACAGATAAGGAGTAGATATAAAGCAAAATGAAGATAACAGGAAGACCTTAGCCATCATAGTAAACCCCCAGATTTTCAATTTTTAATGGTCCTGAAAGTGCAGGAGTGTTAAGCAGATTTAATTAGGGTAGGTCAATCTTTTCCAATCACGTGCCTTTCAAACGTGTTGCTGCTCTGTGATCTTCAGAATTCCCATGCAGCATGCATATTATGGTAAGTACAACATAAATATTAGTTATGAAGAAGCAGGAAATCATTATGAATTCTCAATTCTTAAACTTGGATCTTTCTCTCCAAGACCATGACATATATGACAAAACAGCAGAGGTTGGCACTATATTCAGAATATGCTGTAGCAGAGGACTACTGAAAGGGAGCCAATGATCCCTATGATTATGAAGGCTAGTCTTGAAGGTGGTTCAACATGTTTGGCATTGTTGGATGACTTTATTGCAGTCAAAAGGTATATCTTGCTCAAAAGGAACAGATGAGGGGGGAAAAGGAAGGAGAGAGGAGCTGTATATATAAGGCTTCTGAAGCCTCCAGATAAAACCATGAATCTGAGATTGGAAGCTATGATGAAAGCCTATAGATGATGATAGGAAGAAAAGGAAGAGAAAAATTCTATCAAGGTAGCAATATAGAAAAGGCTGCCAAGCCAACAGAAAGCACACATTATGTTTTCCTGAAACAGTTGCAAAACTTTCATAGAGACAATTATTGTATTAATAGGGAATTTTGAACTATCTCAACATCTGGAAGTCTGCTAAGTCTGGAACAACTCAATAAAATCCTGACTTCCTGGTCTTTCTGCCTCTCAGAAAATAAAGAACAGAACAAAACCTCATACCCTGGATTTAGTTCTGATCATTGGGAAACCTACAAGTGAGATACACATATCCAACCAGTTGAAACAAATGTCAAGTACAATTGTAGATAAACAGAAGTAAAAGGGCAAGGATAGAATGAAACATTGGCTTGGCAGTATGTGAAGGATTTAGGTGTATTAGTAGGTCATAAGATTAAGATAAGCCAGCTGTTAAAAATTTAATTCTAGGTTGCATTAATCAAAACGTAATATTCAACTTGAGAAATGAACAGTTTCATGTTATTTCACATTGGTTGAACTTTAGCTAGTATTGAGTTTAAACTTGGGTACCACATTTTTAGAAGGTCATCAAGGAATTGGATCATACTCAGAGGATGGTGATTCAGATGGTAAAAATCCTGGAAGTCCTTCTTTGTAAAGAATTGTTGGAAGAACTATATTGAATCTACAAAATATTAAATATGATAGCAATACTTGTCATGAAGAAATGAAACAGATCTGTCCTCTGCTATTTCAGAAACAGTGCCTACTGCAGAGACATTGTAGGCAAGCAGAATTTGACTTAACCTTTGCAAAACGTCTGCAGTGGTAAATGCTATTCAGCAGTAGTGCAGTGTGCCATTGGAACTTATGAGCTATTTCATTGGAGGAATTCAAGTGTGGGCTAAAAACTATTCAGATTTATTTCATATGCTGAGTGGAACACTGGAGTAGCTGAAAATCTTTTTATTTCTTTATACCAGAGGTGGGGAACGAGGGCCTCTTTATGATTTGTGGACTTCAAGTCCCAGAATTCCTGAGCCAACATTCCCAAACATAATCTTAATGTTTCACTTCTTCATTTTCTCAGGAATATTTTTAATCCAGCTAGATTTTCTATATTCACCCGTTTCCATGTATGACTCTTTCTTCAATTACCATGTCTTTCTTTTTCTTCAGGAATAACAATTTGACTCGGCCAACCTGAGTTTTCAACAGCAGGATAAATATTCTTGAAATACCTATTGGCCTTCTTCATCTGTACAAAAGACACTATGCACACCGCTGCATCATAGCCAAGGCAGGGAGCACATGTGACTTTGAAGCATACAATTAATGCATACTGGATATGAATCTGCAGTACGTAGAGACTGCGTATGAGTGTCAGGTGTGTGCAGAAGAAGATATTGCAACATGTTTTTCTTGAGAAATTAAAATCTAAAATTACAAATGTACATATTAGGACTGATATCACTAGGTTAATGTGAAAGTGAATTGCTAATTTGCACAGATTTCCTTCCCCCCATTTTTCCTTTCTTCCATTCATCTTATGAATGAATTTTTTATAACTGTCTTTTCTATCAACATGTGATTATGCAAGGATTATATTGAGGATAAATGAAAATTATTTTTATTTGAAGATAAACATGATTGATCGTGGCAGACTAATTAATATAATAGGAATTCCAAGTTGGAGTAAGAAATCTTAAATAGCTCAAGACAGAGATTCAGTTTGGGGGAACTGCTCTGGATTATGCAAGCTCAGATATTTATTCAACTGCGGAAAGAATAGGGATAATACAAGTTTGTCTTCTGTAATTGGCATGTAGTATAAAAAAACAGGAATGGCTAGCTTGAACTATTCATTGGCAACATTGCATTTTGCCCCTGCTTTTCCAAATAATAGTATTTGTTATGGCCACTGATTTAGCAAAATTCATAATCTATTCTAGAGAATGTTCTAAGAACAGAACATAGAAGAAGCTGACTTAGATCAGATCAGGTCATTTGACCATCTGGCCCAGTGTTACTGCTTGACTCACATCTGCTCTCCAGAAGCCTCAGCAGTGAAAGCCTTCTCCCATCACAGCTGCCTGATCCATTTAAAAATTTGGTCTGGATTAAGTTTGATTTTATTTTCATGCAAAGTGGGTTCCCCACCTCCGAGCTCTGTTCCCCTCTTAACCTAAAGACAGACACGCCCACCCATGCTTCCAAACCGGTCCTGAGAACTTTATTAGGGAAGGCAGATTAGCAATGCAGATTGGACAGTAGCACAGGTATTTCGAGACAAGTAGGAAATTTAGCCAGAAGTGGAGCACAAGTAAGAAAGTCCAATCAGCCACAGAACATGGGTACACCTCTGCAGTGATGTAAGCAAACAAAACATGTTTATAAATACTTCTAAGAGCTATATTGCACAGCTGTCTGTAGCACAAGATGAGAATGAAATGAGAATGATGGTGTAGTTGGACAAAACACTATAAGCACAGATGTTAAACTCATATCTGTCCTGCCTTTCCACTTACTTGTCATGAAATATTGTTTGCTTGCCTGGGAGTACAATAGAGAGAACACTCCATCAAAGTTGTAAGGAAGGGGAAGCAGTTTGCTGAGCGTTGGTGAACAATAATGTGGCTGATTAAATGAGTAGTCTGTGAATCTTCTAACATGATTTCTATGGAAAATAAAACTTTAAAAGCTGTTTTTCATACATCTGAGTGTCTTTGTCAGAAGACATTTTGGTTCAGGATTTAATTTGAACAGATTTCACATATCCATCAGAAGAAGATAGCTATGGGATTCCACGTGATACTAGATTGCCAAGACTCAACTGGCATATTGCTTTTGCAATTGCCAAATTTGCTAACCATCTAGGTAAAGAGGGCAGCCAAAGTACCTGGCTTTAATCTTTCAATTTCTTTCCCCAAAAACTCTTTTTTGTGAATTTAGACTATGTTCTTAGCAGCTGTTATTATGGCACTTTTGTCCCAATGTGTGGATTTGTGAAATACGTCTACAGGAAACTCCCACTACTTATTATTTTGCCACATTTGTGCTTTGGCTTGTTTACTAATGGAGCATAGTCCCCACCCCCTCATCTTTTTAAGCAGTATTTCACAATCTCGACAACTTTTAAGATGTGTAAACTTAAATATGCTGGCTGGAGAATTCTGGGAGTTGAAATCCACTTAATGTTGCGAGATTGAGAAACACTGCTTTTAAGCATTATTCCTGTATTTCCATTTTGGGGGAATGGAGGTAAACATAAATTTACCTTAAGGTGGTATGACATTCTAGTTTATTGTTTTACACATGGCTCAGATTAAAAAATTTAACTTCAACAGCCAGTTTGGTGTAGTGTTGAAGGTGCTGGCCTAGATACCTGGCGGCTCATCTGACTTTAGGAATGACTGGGGCCAGTCACTCTCTTTCAGCCAATCCACCTCACAGGGTTCTTGTGGGAAAAATAAGAGTTATGTATTCTCACTACCTTGAATTTCTTATAAAGTAATAAAGGCAGGATAACCATATAATTAAATAAATCCTAATAACTGACTCATTACAAAATATGGCACTTTATTTATTTTATTTATTTATTTAAAGCATGTATATAGCCACCCATCTTATATTGAACTGTAGGTGGCTCCCAATCACACATAACAATTGTTATTGTTTGGTCCCCATTTCCCAATATCTGTATATAAGCAAAGGAATTTTCTACATATCCGTATTTGACCTTATTTATTTATTCATTTATTTTTATCATACTTATATGCCGCCCTTCTCCCGAAGGACTCGGGCAGCTCACAACAATAAAACAACAAGACAGTAAAATGAATACTAAAATAATCCAATTAAAATCCCCGACAGTTAAAACTAAAACCCCCAACAGATCAGGAGATTTGTTGAAAACGCCACGTCTTCAGGTCACCGCGAAAAAAGCGGAGGTCGGGGGCCATCCAGAGCCCAGTGGGTAACTCGTTCCAGAGGGTTGGTGCAGCCAGAGAACGCCCTCATCCTGGGCGCCAACAGGCAACATTGTCTGGCCGATGGCACCTGGAAGAGGGCAGTCCTATGTGAGCGCACTGGGCGGTGGGAGGCCGGTAGGAGGTGGTCCTGCAAGTACCCCGGGCCCATGCCATGAAGGGCTTTTTAGGTAAGTACCAGCACCTTGAAGCGGATCCGAAGGACCACCGGCAACCAGTGCAGCTCGCACAGGAGAGGTGTGACACGGGAGTGGGAAGCTCCCATAACAACCCTCGCGGCTGCATTCTGGACCAGATGGAGCCTCTGGGTGCACCACAAGGGCAGCCCCATGTAGAGAGCATTGTGGTAGTCCAGACGAGAGATAACGGGAGCATGAGTGACTGTACGGAGGGCATCCCTATCTAGGAGAGGTCGCAACTGGCGCACCAGGCAAACCTGCGCAAAAGCCCCCCTGGTCACGGCCATCAGGTGATCAACTAAGGACAGCCGCGAATCCAGGAGGACGCCAAGATTGCGAACCCTTTCAGAGGGAGTAAGCAAGTCCCCTCCCATCAAGAGTGATGGGGTCACTAGATCAGGGGATGCCGGCATCCACAGCCACTCCGTCTTGGAGGGGTTGAGTTTGAGCCTGTTCCTACCCATCCAGACCTGTACTGCCTCCAGGCACTTAGACATCACGGAAAGGACATCCCTGGGTTGGTCTGAGGTGGAGATGTAAAGCTGGATATCATCAGCATATTGCTGATACCTCACCCCGAAACAACAAATGATTTCACCCAGCGGCTTCATATAGATGTTAAAGAGCAAGGGGGAGAGAACCGATCCCTGAGGCACCCCACAAATGAGGGGCCTTGGGGAGGATCTCTGTCCCCCTGCCCAGACAAATTGCATGCGACCCAAGAGGTAGGAGGAGAAAAATTGTAAAACAGTGCCCCCCACCCCCAACCCCCCGAGTCGTCGCAGTAGGATACCATGGTTGATGGTATCAAAAGCCGCTGAGAGGTCAAGTAGGACCAAGATAGAGGAATAACCCCTATCCCTGGCCCGCCAGAGATCATTTACCAGGACGACCAATGCCGTTTCCGTGCTGTGTCCGCGCCTGAAGCCCGATTGGTACGGGTCTAGATGATCCGTTTCCTCCAGGAATTGTGGAAGTTGGTGTGCCACCATGGACTCAACAACCTTCGCTATAAAGCGAAGGTTGGAGATGGGACAAAAGTGGTTCAAGGAGGCCGGATCCAGGGCAGGCTTCTTGAGAAGGAGTCGAACCACAGCCTCCTTAAGGATGGCGGGAAAGACCCCATCCCTCAATGAAGCGTTGACAATCACCTGGATCCAATCTCCAGTCACCTCTCTGGTTGCCGCAACAAGCCAGGAGGGACACGAGTCCAGCAAACACATTGAAGCCCCCAATCTTCCAACAATCCTGTCCACTTCATCTATGGATACAGAGTCAAAGTCAACCCAGATGTTGCCTTCAAGACTTGCTCCCATCTCCTCGTCAGACCCTGCCCAGTCAGAGTCTAAACCTGTCCGGATCTGAGCGATTTTGTCTTGCAGGAATTGAACAAAATTGTCAGCACGGCCTTGCAAGGGGTCTTCCCTCCCTCCCTGATTAAGAAGAGAGTGGGTCACTCGGAACAAGGCTGCTGGGCGATTTTCTGCAAACGCAATGAGAACGGTGAAATAATCATGTTTCGTTATTATGATATAATAACATTTCGACCTTATGAGCACATCACTAAGCTTTCTGCTGAAATATAGATCTCTGAAAAAATAAATCCTCCAGATTTTGTCCAGCAAAGAGCTTTTGCTTTATTTGAATTCTTTTTTTTCTTTCTTTCTTTCTTTCTTTCTTTCTTTTTTTTTTTTTTTTTTGGTCTTATGGTACTATTATCATTTCAGATGTATCAGAGGTGGGTTTCAGCAGGTTCTGACCAGTTCTAGAGAACGAGTAGTGGAAATTTTGAGTATTTCGGAGAACCAGTAAATACCACCTCTGACTGGTCCGGTCCTCATCTATTCTCTGCCTCCCAAGTCCCAGCTGATCAGGAGGAAATGGAGATTTTACAGTAACCTTTCCCTGGAGTGGGGAGGGAATGGAGATTTTACAGTATCCTTCCCCTGGATTGGGGAGGGAATGGAGATTTTACGATATCCTTCCCCTGCCCTGCCCAACAAGCCACGCCACGCCCAACAAGCCACACCCACAGAACCAGTAGTAAAAAATTTTGAAACCCTCCACTGAGCTGTATGGATTTCTTCAATGTAACAAATGCCCCATTTTCATTTATTCTGGCAACTGGGATGTTTTCTATCACAGGCCAAATCTGAGAACTCTAATTTATCAGGGAGAACTATAGGCATTTCACTATGTTCCTGAATGAATCTTAAATATTTTTCTATATATCTTCCCCAAAATTGGTGCCTTTCAGAGGTGCTAGAATGGTATTTCAAAGAGTTTCCCGCCAATATGACTGTTGTTGGAGAAGTAGTTCATTCCTTATATTCTCCAAAGGTCCTCAGCACATAACTCAAAATTCAGTGAGTATCAATCAAAGAGTGTAAAAATAGATTTACTTCATCATAAATTTAAATAATGCAGCAAAACCAAACCAAGTTAAACACAAAAGAGACCACTGGGGGTGCTGGAGTTCTGTTACATTTTTCAGGGCACAGCCAGACACTGTAGCTGTGTTACAGTAATGTTCCTCAGTCAAAACTGATAAGTATGCCAGCATAAATTGCCAATTGGTTGATTGCCATTCTGCCTGGGAATTGAACTGAAGGCAGTGAATGGTGCAGTTTTTTTTCAAGAGACTGGTGGATTATTCTGGCAGAGTTTCCCTTCCCTTCAAGCATCATTTGCCAGCAAGGAAAAGCAACAATCTATTGCTCTCCTTAGTGTGTAGTGAATGGAAAACACAGAAAGATGCTTAGAATGGCTAGTTTAGTCACATGTCAAGTTGCCCAACTAATGAATCATCTTTTCAGAAGTAATATGTACTTCTGAACCTACCGTGTTTCCCCGAAAATAAGACCCTGTATTATATTTTTGGGAACCCCGAAATAAGCAATTGGCCTTATTTTTGGGGAGGTCTTTTTATTTTGGGGCGCATGGAGCAAGATGGGGCTCCTCTTGCCGTCTTACCTGATTTCCAGCTCTGTATTTAAATATTTTTTGGGGAGAGCTTATTTTCGGGGGGGAGGCTTATTTTAGTGCATGCACTCAAAAGCCCGATTGGGCTTATTATCAGGGGATGTCTTATTTTCAGGGAAACAGGGTATCATTTGGGCTACTTCTAAACAGAGGCCTAGTGCTTTTCTGAAAGAATGCTAAACGCATGTACCAAAATAGCCTGGTTGACAGGACAAGGGCATGAAAAAGTGTGGAAGGTGAAGTGCGAAGGAGTAATTGAAAACAAGCTCTGTCCATTGGATTTCAAGGATGTGGCAATATAGTCATTCCCAGCAGCAATTGTAAGTAGCCCATGGTGTTAGCAAAGTGACAATGGTCACCTCACCAAATTTAAAAAACAGTAAATGCTGTGCCAAACACCTTGTTGAATAGTGGAAAACATACAATGTACCCAGTGCAGTTGGTGGATACCAGCTCTCTTTTCTGATTTAAACTGATTGGTGATGCACAGAATTAGTGCTCTTTTGAAAATACTATTCCTGTTTTTTAATCATAGATCTAGAGATCTTTCAAAATAACATTAAACCTATGTATATAAGGAGCCTGCAAAAATTCTCACAAGAGCTTTAGTAAATGCTTCTCAGGCATTATGCGGACAGATATATCTTCAGAAGCCAAGTAAAACAACCTTATTGGATAATGCTTAAAGGGATTTGAAGCAGCTTGAATGTCCAATAAGAGTTTAGTAAATCTCAGCTCTAATCCATTATCATCAGCCACAAAAGTGAAATGTGCTAAATTGCACTCACAAAAATTTTGGAGGAAGAGGAATAACACTACTCTAAAACTGGAATGCCTAAATATGATGTAAATCTGATCAGAGCTGTGGACTGAAAGGAGACAAAGGCATAAGGATTGTTAGTGAAGCATATTGATGTCATCGCTGAGGGGACAAGAACAGACTCAAACTTGTGGGAAGGGGGCAAATTCATTAGAAATCAAATATTTATCAAAAAAACTCCAATTCTCTCCACAATTGTTCTTATTGGGTATAGTTAGGGGTTTTACATTGGGTGAAACAAAGCTGATATTGTATATGGTGACAGCAGCTAGATTATTGATAGGTCAATATTGGAAAAATGATGCTACGCCCACTGTTGAAGAATGGACTTTGAAGATGGCCAGCTTTGTAGAGATGGCGAAGATTTCAGCATATCTAAAAGATCGGACTCAAGAGACTTATGTATGGGAGTGGAAGAAGTGGATAGATTATGTACAGAATAAATATCAAACTAGGAAATATCAGATAGCTTTTAGCTGAATGTATATAGGGATAGAATAACTGAATGTTATTTACGAAGAACTGAATAGCACACGGGGGTGGAATAGTTAGGGGTTATAGTATTATAAAATATGATTTTGATTTGGGTTCCCTTTATTTTTTTGAGCAGTATATATTGTTCCATTTATTAGCAAATAAATAATTAATGATTATTAGCACACTAATATATCCAATCTCACACTTTGATTTTTACTGCATTCTGATCATCTGTGTTTTGGTTTGGTTTGTTTATTCATACTGGAGGAAAGAAACAACATTCGTACATTGTTATATCTAAACCATTGTGTGATTTATTTGTGGCTTATCTTGACCCATGAAGCCAGCCAATATATAAGAAAACCTCCATCTCCAACAACAAGCAACTTTAGACATGCTAATTTCCTGGAGGATTAAAGGAAAGAATTTCCTATAGCTCACTTTTACTCTAATTGGGTATCAGTTAATAATGTTATCTTAAAACATAGGCCATGGAGTGGTAAATAGGGAAATACTATCCCCAAGACTTTTTTCAGAAGAGAATTCATGGTGACCTTGGTGAGTAAGGTATTTAAAGAAATCCTCCTTTTCTAGCCAGGTAGTGCTAATATCATAACAAGATTTTCAAGTTACAAATGAAAAACTAAATGTAGAAACACCGCATCCCTTGCCATTCCACTGACCACTGCAGTCTAAAAACCACATTTCACATTGATGACCTGGGAAGAAGTGAATAGTACATGAATTTGAATCCAGAAGGTATGTTCCATGTCTGATACTAGCAAATTGGGGTGTATGGGGTGTTCAGAGAGGGGTAGCACCTCTGGTGTAGGGGCATGTTGTGTCCTTTTAGGGCAACTCGTTTGAGGGCAGTTTTTAAGGGCAGCTCGTCCACCTTTGGTCCCCACTTGTCACTCAGCCCTCACCTGTGACTCCTAGTAGCTGTAGCATGCGCAATGGCCAAACCCTGGGCAACAGCTTCGACAGGCTGGCCAAACCAAGTTGAGAGTAGCAATTGGGTCATTGACCTTCGGTGAAATACGGACTTGTCTATCCCGAGCATGTGAAGACAGATTCTGATGGATTGAGCAGATGAAACCTACTAGAATAGGACAACAGTCATGAAGATGGTCTCCGCAAGCGATGTGATAAGCTAAGAGCAGGGCAAGACACAAAAGACGCCCTGGTCAACCACTGTGCCCAGCCCATCTCCAACTGTCTCAACTATTGTCCTGCTAGCAAAGCAAAATGGAATGTGGGAAGAGAGTGAGGCTGACTATGTATACCTCTTCCTCAATTTAATCCAATTCACGCGCAAGTCTTGACATCCCAGATGTCAAGGTCCTCTTTGAACACGCTGGATGAACATTATTAGCAAATAGACTTACAGAAAATGCTACAACATTGGGAGAAGGAAAAACTCCTAAACCACAGCTCCTAATCCCTAGGCCCATGATGGCGAACCTATGGCACGCGTGCCACAGGTGGCACACAGAACCATATCGGTGGGCATACAAGCTTTGCTGTAGCTCAGCTCCAGTGCGCATGTGTGCATCGGCCAGCTGATTTTCAGGCCTTCTGGGCCCACCAGAAGTTGGGAAACAGGCTGTTTCTGGCCTTCAGAGGGCCTCCAGGGGGTGGGGGTGGGGTGGGGAGGCCACTTTCACCCTCCCCAGGTTCCTAGAAAGGCTCTGGAGCCTGGGGAGAGCAAAAAATGGGCCTTCTGGTCCCACCAGAAGTTGGGAAATGGGCCATTTCTGGGTGGAGTGAAGGCCAGTTTTGCCCTCACCAGGCTCCAAGAAAGCCTCTGGAGCTTGGGGAGGGTGAAAAATGGCCCCACCGGGCCATTGAGTGCCAAAAGTGGGAGGAGCAAGGGGGCAGCACGGGGATGCACAGGGGTTGGGGCACGGGGCACACTGAATTATAGGTGTGGGCACATGTGCGACCACCCCCATGCTGCCCCCGCTTTTGGCACACGATGGCAAAAAGGTTAGCTATCACTGCCCTAGGCTAAAAAGCTTAACTATTGAAATGTCCATTCACACAACCACACTGTACACCTGGTGTGAACCCACTTCTAAATGAATACAGGTAGCTCTCAATTTATGACTGTAACTGAGCCCAAAATTTCTATTTGCTAAGTGAAACATTTGTTAAGTAAGTTTTGCCCCATTTTGCAACCTTTCTTGTCACAGCTGTTAAATGAATCACTGTACTTGTTAAATTAGTAACAAGGTTGTTAAATGAATCAGGCTTCCCCAATGACTATGTTTGTCACAATGTTGATCACGTGACCCCAGGACACTGCAGCCATCATAAATATGAGACAGTTGCCAAGCATCTGAAGTTTGATTACATGATCACAGGGATGCTGCAACGGCCTTGTGAAACATAGTCACAAGTGACTGTGCCATTGTATCTTTGAATAGTCACTAAATGAATTGTTGTAAGTCGAGGACTATCTATTTATAGACAGTGTGGCCAATCGAGAATCTTCATATTGCTTGCCAATCAAAAGAATTGATATTGTACAATGCTAATTCCTGCCTGAAGGGGGCTCTAAATGCACACAATCTGAGCTAGCACAAAAGAGTAATCTAAATACTATAGAGTAGACCATGAGGTGCGAGCTGTGGATGCTTCTACATTAATTGTATAATTCTGTCTAATTAGTGTAAAAGCTAATAAGCATGGATGAAATCACTCCATGTAGTTACAGCATAAGTGATCCAGAACATCCTTTTGCTGGACAGTTGTCAAACACTGTATGCAGTTAACAAGGCTTGGAGCCTTTTTTCTTCAAGCACTTTTACCTGAGGCCTAAATTCAAATAATAATCAGTTATTCTTTGGCCTGGGGGAAAAAAAAGGCCAATCTATTTAAAGTCTCTGCTAAAAGATAACTGGTAAACTTTAATCATTTTATTTCAGGTTTAAAGCACTTCTAGACTGAAGCTGTAGCCCATGGATTTTAAATACCTGGATCTTAAAATCGACTCTTCAAAAGGAGGTGGATTCATGGAATTTGCTCAGTCTATATTAAGCTTCATGATCTGATTTTGTTAATTTGGAAATAAAATTTAGATGGTTGTAATCCAGAAGCCAGGATTGCATTAAAAGCCATAGGACATGGATATTGTGCTTATATTTTAGGCTATGCTAAGCCTAAATGCACTTTGTTTGTGGCTTGTTGAATTGTGCAACTCTAGCAATTGTGGCTTATCACTCATAATGTATAGCTTAATGTGATGCGCCATGAGCAATGTCTGCCTCACAGACCTTGAATATATTTCAGGGTGAGTGTGTATACATTATTATTATTATTATTATTATTATTATTATTATTATTATTATTATTATTACTACATAATATCTTAAACAGAAAGGATGCATTTTAGTGTGTATATATAATTTAAACTGTCCATAATGATCTTTCCTTATAAATATTAGACTATGAAATCACCTGCTACGTCCTGAACAAATGCATTGCCTAGTGAACTAAACACTCAGCAAATGCCAGTGTACCATTTTCCCATACCTTTGAACACCCTGGGCAGAGGACAAGTAAAAAAGTAAAGTTATGCCAAAACAAATGCTTCCACTCAGGGATGGGGATGTGACCATCTCTTCTGCAGCAAGGGTATTATTCTAAATGTTAAAATACAGATTCCTTCCTTAGTTATCATGGGTTCGCCAAAATTTCTAGCCTCAGTAATAACCTTAAAAAAACTATGATGTTTATTCCACAGTATGGACTGCAAAAATAGCTTCCACAATAGAGACATTCTGGTCAGTAATACCGTATCTGTCCACCTCTGTATTAGTTCGCCCATTTACACGTGAATGAATGAAGGAACAATCTCACGCATCACTGCTCAACAAAAGTTCCCACCAGCTTCTGTAGCCTTTCCTCCATTTGCCTTCTCCATTCCTCTGTTCCCGTTTCTTCCACCTTGTTCTTCCTCTCCTCATCTTCCTCTCTCCCTTTTCCCTCCAAGCCACCCTTCCTCCTCCGTCCTGCCGGGTTGACTTGGTCTCATTCCTGCCGCCCTACCTCTCCGCGCGCGCCTTTGTCTTTTTCCCCTCTTCTTGCCCACTCCTTCCGTCCTTCCATCCATCCATTTATCCTTCGCTTCCTCTTCCCTTGATACCTTCTTCCCTTCTTCTCCTTACTCCATTTCCTGCATCTTTCCCTCTCCTGTATTTATTTCCCTTCCTCCCTTCCTTCCTTCCTTCCGTCGTCCCTCCGTTTGCCCACCATCCTTCCATCGCTTTACTCGCTCCCCCCGTCTCCTCCTCCTCCTCCTCCTCCTCTCCCCAGCACGGGATTGTGGGAGGAAGCGGAGCGGAGCGCAGACAGACGCCCAGCGAACATGGCTGCACCATGAGCCGCCTCCCAGAGGCTCGCCACCGCCGCCGCTGCCTCCTCCTCCTCCAGCCGCCCGAGCGCTAGCGCCAGCCCGCGGCTTGAGCCGAGGCCGAGTGGGGGAGTGCAGCGGCCGAGGGGGGGAGGAGGAGGAGGAGGGACACCCTTCCCAGATCTCCTCCCCGATCGCCCCCCCTCGACCGACGCCGCGGGGGGAGGAGCAGGAGCTCCCCGACTAGTCGAGGAACCGACCGACGGACCGCGGCCGGCCCCAGGCGCCCGCTCCCCGGCGCCCACTCCCCATGGATAGGAACTACCCCAGCGCTGGCTTCGGAGATCCGCTGGGCGCCGGCCCGGGATGGAGCTACGAGCGCTCGGCCAAGGCCAGGTCAGGCCGCCGGGGGTGGTGGAGGGGAGGGAAAGGGATCTCTTCCCCCTTTCCCGGGCAATGCCGGAGAGACCGGTCTTGGCGGGGATCAAGCACGGCACCATCTCTCCTTCCAGCTTCTGCACAGGCCTCCTTCCCTGGGCCTGGAAGTGGGATTGAGGGGGGAGAGTGGGGGGCAGAACCCGGGCAACCTCGGGGAAAGGAATGCCGGCGGGACCCGGCTCCTTTGCCAGCGGCATGGCACCGGGGTGCAATCTTGGGGCCGTCCCTGCACTGGAAGGGTCGTCTTTTGCAAGGGTGGGAGAGGAGGCAGCCCGTGCGGGATCCTCTAGGCGCTATGGTGGGATGGGGGACCCGACTGAGGTGTGCAGCCCCTTGGGCGCTGGTAGAAGCGACATGGGACAGAAATGCATGTACAAAGGGCAGAGGAGGAAGAAAAGGTGGTTGATGCTCAGTTCTCCTGCACAGCAACCTGGTAAGCCCTACAGGGAGAAAGTGCTTTGATTCCCTGCAGGTGAAGGGTGAGTGAGAGTCGCAGTGTGATGCCTTTGTGGTTTCTCTTTTTCTACCCCTAGTGGGGCATTCATTAGTGAGGTGCCCCGTGGAGGACACCTCTGCTGCCCTGTTTAGGACATGAAGGACATTTCATTGCATTGCCTGTCTCTATATGAGACAAAGCAATAAGCTTTGGCCTCATGGTTTGGGACAGGAAAATTAATCTGGGAGGGGAAACATCAGCATTATTTTGGAAAACTAATATTCTTTCCTTGTACCTAAGAAGATTGGACATTTGGAGAAAATCTCTCCCTCTCTCTCTCTCTCTCCCCCCCCAAAGGATAGCTTATTTTGTTTGGTAATGAGTCTTCAAACTGCTGAGTGTAAGTCAGCTCTTGTAAATGGTGATGGTGACAGGAAAGTCTTTCTTGCTAAATGTGAAAAGGAAATTGTTGACTTTGGGAACTCTGGGTATTCCCGTTCCTTGTGTGTGTGTATCAGGTAAGATACAAATGAGCAGCTGCAGGCCTGTAACTCTCTCTTTATGTTTCCTGTAAATTGGGACACTTTTTCACAATGGTTTGTATGATTTATGGCTGTAAGGACATCTTTTGCAGAGGAGAGACGCAGAAGGTAAGAGTTGGTTCCCCAAATCCTATAGGCTTAACAAGGGAGAGATTGAGACTTCGATGTAAAATTCTAAACTTTAGTGGCTGGAATCATATTCCATGTATAAGAAATGAGATATTTTTTAAGGTTTCCACAAGATACAAATCTGATCCCCCTATTCATATAGAAATGTGGAAGGTCAAGTTCTTTTGATCAAACATGAATTTTTCATACTTTTTTCTTTGCTAGACACATTTGTTGTTGTTGTTGTTGTTGTTGTAGATTTTCCAAAGAGCAACTTCTTAACTTAGTAGCTATTTACTTGAGTAGGGACCCATAGACTCATCTGAATCTCTGCTTTGATATGTTCATCCTTACTTCCATCCTAGATGACCCAATAATTTTGAATCTTATTAACTCTGGTTCTCTTTCTGAATAAGCTAAATCTTAAAGCCTCAGTATCACATTTTAAAATTCCATGATAATGTTTCTTAATGTCCAACATTCATCTGTTTTTGCAATATCTATAGTATTTTAACATATTTCTAATTTGCATCTTCACCTGATAGGTAAGGGAATTAAGTGATTCCATCTTATATGAATCTATGTTTTATGTTTGAAAGAGATTATTATGAATATATCTTGTTCTCTATTCTAGGTCAGCCTTCCCTGCTATGGGGTTCAGCCTTCCCTTCAGGTGTTTTGGACCACAAATGGAGATTATAATAGTTACCATCCAATACATCTGGAGGGTGCCAGGTCAGGGACAGCTATCCTAAGCACAATGTAAAACAAACTGATTCTTTCCCCTAAGGCTGCATGCATTGTGTTGATGTTGTGATGTGTTGTATTATTTTTGGTAAGAAAGGAGTAACAAATTTTGATTTAAATGTGGCCTAGCCACAGGGATATATTGACTGTAATACCAGGTCTCTGCCATGCCTCTTATTGTTATTTTAGTATCCACGTATGCAGCAATATGATGCTAATAATTTGTGGGATGGGTGAGAAGACTAGAGTACTAGTAGTATTGTTAGGCTAACACTGCACAGAGGTTTTTGCACATGCACGTTTAAATGAGTTTGTGGCACCAGTAGAAAGCATAGTGCAACATTTATCACATGGATGGACCCCTTCAGATGTGTTGAGATCAGAACGTTCAGAACTGCTAGCCACTCAGCCACAGATGAGTAATTGTGCTGCCCTAGATGTTGTGATTCCTCTGTATTTGGAAGGTGACATGATGAGAAAGTCTGGAATAATGACAATCTTTTTTGGAGAAAAACCTGGCATTTTATGAAAGGAAAACTGGGACCTAGCACTGATGGAAACAATGTGAGGTCTGGTGGCTTAGTTTACAGAGCTTTGAGGATCAGAGCCCTCAGTTTTTCTGGGAACCTGGAATGAAGCTGGAGTCAAAACAAGCAAGGCCTTATATTGCAGATGAGCTACTACAGAGACCTTGGGCTTACGAGCAGAGTTCAACCACACTAATTTTGTTTTGGACATGAATTTAAAATGTGCATCTATCTGAAATGAGAATTGGAGCAAAACCATCTAAACACAGTGCTCTTCCATATGCATAAGCATATCTGTATATACAGTACAAAGCAAATGTTGGTCTATAACTCTGATTGCTACAGTTCTTCTCTGGAGGAAAATCCCGCCCTGTTTCTAAGCATTTGGTTTCTCAGCTGGTCTCCTTAAATTATATTCCTCCTTTTTTTGTGTGTGTGTGCTTCTGGGACAAGGTTTGCTTAACAGTGATCCATCAGTTAGTTCAGCTACATTTGTAATATTTTGAACAATTGTATTTGCAATTCAGAAAAGGCATAGAAAAAGTTTGAAGCTTTGGGGTTTAGTGTATATTAAAATACAGGTTATGATCACAATTGAGCCCAAAATTTATGTTGCTAAGAGAGACAGTTTTAAGTGAGTCCTGCCCCATTTAACGACCTTTCTTGCCACAGTTATTAAGTGAAATGTTGCAGTTGTTAAAGTTAGTAACCCAATTGTTAAGAGAATCTGGCTTCCCCATTGATTTTGCTTGCCAGAAGGTTGCAAAAGGGGATCACATGATCCTGGGACATAGCAACTGTCATAAATATGAACCAGTTACCAAGCCTTCGAATTTTGATCACATGAACATGGGATGCTGCAATGGTCATAACTGTGAAAAATGGTCATAAATCACTTTTTTCAGTGCCATTATAACTTTGAACGGTCACTAAATGAACTGTTGTAAGTCAAGGACTATCTGCACACACTTCCATTATCTAGCTTGTAGTTCTGTGTGTATCTTCTCTTCGCTGGCTTCCTTCAAAAGGGGTGGAATGGGTGATTTTCTTGAATTTGATCAAGAAGGCTTGCTTACTTTTGAGAATAGAGGTGCTTGTTGGATGCAGTGCCCTCTATTGACTGTATAGGGAGTTTTATGTAAAAAGGTATATCAGAGCATGTGCATAATATATGTTTTGACAAGTCTTTGCTCCTCTTCTGCTTCCATACAGCAAGGCCTCATCAGACTAAAGTTGCAGTTAGGTCAAAGGGCACAGTGTTCAGGGAGCTTTGAGGACTGATCTTTTTCTCTTTACTTCTGAGTAAAAAGGTAAGTTGGTTCTATGGTTAGGTCAACGGATGTTTTTTAGGTAGCCTTGGAAATAAGTGTCATTAGTCTACAACGGGTGTCAAACTCAAGTTGTCACAGCAACGTCACATGATGTATCGGGATTTTTTTCCCCTTCGCTAAAGCAGGCGTGGGTGTGGCCAGCATGTGACGCATCCGGCCCATGGGCCAGGAGTTTGATAGCCCTAGTCTACAACATTTGCGTTCACCCCATACAGTAAAATTTACTAATTTAAATACCCAGAGCCTTAGAGAAAAGAAGAATGTTTTCCTCCCCTTTACTTTATGAACACTGCTTTTTGCTGTGAGTACTGAAGGTACATCTTAAGCATCAGAGTTAACAATGGAGCAGCTGTTAGCAATTTTAATTTGAAAACTGGTGTGAGAAGAAGCTGAGAAGGCTATCATTAAAGTATCTTGGTTTTTTTTTTTAAAATTAACTTTGCCGCCTCAGTTAAGCTTGGTTCCCATTCTCATTCATGTCTTATGTTTTTTTCCATCTTTTGCTTGGCCTTTAAGGGGTCATGCTTTCCTTCCCAAATTTCCTGAAAATTCTTAGGATATAGAGTTATTGATGTCGGCATGCATGCTTTATCAGCGTGTATATAGATATTGGATCCCCAAAAGTAAATATTTCTTCCCTTAAAAATCATAATATACTATGATATCACATGCATACATAATACAGTTAGATCTTTCTGCTACTATGTTCTAATGAGTCACGTATTCTATTTAGGTTGTAGTGGTTGGTCTGTTGCTGGGATTTTTGTAATCAGTACATTTTTAAAAAAACACTTGGGATTACTCAAACATTGACTCAAAAATAACTAGTATAAATAATACAGATTTGCATGTATTTTGCATGTTTTATATACTGTGATTCGTTAAAAAAAATAAAGCGAAACGATAACAAGCTGGACAAGTCATTCAACTGCTTCCCAGACTTTGATTCTCAAGTCATTGTCATTAATTGCTGGAATTTTATTAGGAACTTCATGTCTTTATATCAGTAAGGACCCTACGTTGCTGTGTTCTGCATCCACTATGAATTATGTTTGCATGGCAGTCCAAGCAACTGGACTAAAACCTTCGCACTACTGGCTTATAACTTTGCATGTTGAAAGGCTGGAAATCTCGTTGGTTGGCTGCCTTGTGTGCCAGATAATACTTTGTACAGCAGTTGTACTTTGTGATGCTGCATGCATTTTTTTTCCTGCATTCACCCATCGCTCTGTAGCTTGCAATCCTTACTCCATCTGCTTCTTGCATCTGTGATCTGCTTATTGGTAGTGCTTTGAATCCTGTGTAATTTGGCATAGGCTTTATTCTATTAGCAATTGTTAGAACTTGATGCATTCATTGATGCAGACTGTTGCATCAAGGGAAATAGTATGACTGTCCATAGCCAACAGAATACAGAAAGCATATTTCTTTCAGAAGTGATTGTGCATTTGTTCCTAGTCCTCATGGCATCAAAAATTATTTGAGTAAGTCTCATAAAATATTTTGCCTAACTCCTGGAATGTTTCCATGGTACTTTTCTTCCTCCATTCCTACTTTCCTCTGTTTTATTTTTTCCAGAACTTGGGGGGAAATTGCAAAACTTTTTTCTTTTATATTAACTTGCATATTGCTGCTAATTTTTGTGGATGCACAATTTTACAGGGAACTGATTGCATACCTTCAAAAACTACTCTTTGTTTGAATGCCCACATCTTTTAAACCCTCAGTGGTCACCAATCATATGTTGAAAGCAAGCATAACAGAAATATTTTTTTCAAGCGTGGAAGAAGCCAAGTTATCATTTTAGGCCAAGGTAACCTAGGAAAGGGATAGGTAAAGTTATCCTCAAGTGTCTTAATTTTTTTTAAAGAAATTGCAGGATTGGAATATGTAATTCTGATTAAACAGTTACTATTCTGTTCACTTTTTCATGCTAATATGCTCTTGAATCAGCATAGAAGAGACACTCAATTGCATTAATAGTTTCTTAGTTTGGAATACTGTAATGCTTTTTAGAGACATAGCGCTTAGATATGTTTAGTATGATGTGTTAAAATGTATAGGCCTCTCCACCTTGGTAGTAAGCTGTGCCTGTCATTTTCATCTCCAAATTACACTGAGTTAAAAGCTGGTGTTAATTCAGAGTGTGCTTGTGTTCGTGGGGTAGGAGAAGAATCTGATCTCACAATTAAACTAGAATGTAATTTGTTTGGATTTAACTTAGTATGGCTACTTGTATTGTGTGTTAATATGTTTTGTGGTTTGCAATCGATAATGTATTTCTTAAGATTATGTGTGAACCAAATTCTGGTTAAAAAACTCTGCAGTTTACTGTTAGTGTGAATCTATTCTCTGTGTGTAGGATCCAAGGCTTAGGGCAATTTTTTTTCCAATTTGGTTTACTACAGATGTGTTGAATTACAGCTCCCATCATCTCCAACCAGTGAGGACATTAAGTACTGTATAAAAGATGCAAAAGATGGCAGGAATTGTAGCCAGGGCACAACAGGAAGAAATTTAATTCAGAAGTCTGGGTTGCAGTGTTTTGAAGCTGGTTAAAAAAAAATGGACGTTTTTCCCCACTCTATGATCAGGAACAATTGTGATCTATTTCATCAGAGATATCCGTGAAAGTAAATATAACAATTGCAGAACCATTTAACATATTAAAATTACAACACAAAGAAATTGAAATAAAACCCCGTTTTTCCTTCAGTACACATCTGGATACAGAATACAGTGCTATAGTTGGTAATAGAATGTCAGGTATTGAAACAAGCATCTGCATTGTTTGCTGTTTTGCTACCAAATGTTCAGGTGCTTGCTTTGTCTCTTTGTTAACTTAGGTTTTTCCCCTTGAGAAATAATGGAAAATAGAAAGTTTTCCAGTGGATGCCAAGACTGATGTGCCCATCTCTTATACTCCAACCATCTCTTGCTCCATTCTTCTGCCTTACATTCCAATATTGATCCAGTGCATTGTAGCAAGGGAGGAACTGAGATCTCACTGTATGAAAGAAAATATATCTTTATTTCCTGTTTACTGTAACCCTTTGCAGAATGTCCCTTTCCAGTTTGCTGCGTGCAGTCCACTGTCTCACCACAGTGACATTACAGGCAGCAACCTGTGTTCAGAGGGCGGCTTTCTCAGTTGGCCTCCTCAGCACTCATTCTGTTGTTATAACTTTCTTTGCTCTGGGAAAGCTTTTGGTTTTTATTTTTGCGTTTTTAATTTCCTGCAGGTAGTTGCATTCCTGAGACAGGCGCACTTACTTTTAGCAAGTCATCTGCAAGTCATGCCTGCCTCTGTTCCTCTTTACAGAGAGGTGCACCACCTCACGCTGCTTCTCCTGTCCCAGGGCTCTTCCTGCATTTCTTGCATGGCACGTGCATAATTGTGGCACATGCCTCAACACACAGTCAGAGAATAAGTAACGGTGTCTGGTTGGTTTGGTGCTGGAAGGATGGGAGTGGTGGCACTGCATATAATTATATATACAGATAGCTCCCAAAGGGAGTCTAGAAGAAAAGAGCATAATGGCCTGATGTGTAGAATTGAAACTTTCTATATAGATATTTTGTAAGACCTGGGGGGAATGATCTCCTGTTTAAAGAAATATATTTAAAAAGAGAGACCCATATAAAATCACCTAATCATGTTTTATAAAAAATGCTATACACATGGCTTGACCGCAAGTGCAGTCCTCTGTTCTAGCCTTCCCTAACTTGAGAAATGAATTATAGTTGGAAATTCTGGAAATCGTCTTCTCACCCCCATAATAGACGGCATCAGGTTGGAGAAGGCTAATATATTTTCATATGCAGACAGAGTACTGAACTCTGGGACACATTTGAGTAGACTTATCAGTTTGTACCACGGAATATGGGACAAGTATGTATGTGTTTCCATAAGTGGTGTGCTAGAGTTTTCAGGATCAGGCCATGGAATTCTTAGAAACCCTTTGAAAAACAGATATCTATATTTTAATGTAAGAAGGAAGATACAATATCTCCTGGATGTACCATTTTCTATCAGTGGGCTGCATATTTGATTTAGGAATTAAGTTTGTGTCTTTTGTTTTAATAACACAAAATGGGGGAAAATATTTGGGAAGTTTATTCAGGGGAATATTTGACTGGTAGAATGGCAGGTAATGTACAAAAGTCAAAGCAGGTCTGAGTTGATTGCATTGCGGTTAAAGACAAGAAAAATTTAGGGGTGCCTGGGGCTTGGAAACGGGGTAAGCTTGAGGATGTTCTTCTGGCAGCATGTTTGGGTCTCCCTGCACAAGGGGAATAGGAGGAGGAATGATAGAGCTTAGATACCGAGGCGTTGGGAAACCAAGGCCTGGGAAACCACATTTCCCATCATGCATCATTGTTTATTACACATTCCAGTCTTCGTTCCTGCATATGTGAATTCCTCATGCAGGCAAAGAAGCCTGTCCAGGACACGTTTTTGCTCTGAGCATCAAAAACAGGGAAAGAAAGTTACATCATACATTTATGCATTTCTGATTTCCCAATAATAACCATCTGCAGTCTATCTTAGTCAAAATCATGATTTTGTTCATCTTGAAAATGAAAGTTATTGATAAGCCCATGTTACACTTACGAAGTGATGCTTACAGTTGCTTAAGGTGTAAAGAGGACATAGATAAACAGAGAATCTGAACTTTAGAAGTAGACAAGTACTAGATACTCCTTTGCACTCAAAATCAATACTTCCCGAATGATTGCCTCTCCTTGTTCCCCTTGTTCCTCTTGGTTCAGTTCACAGATCTGCAGGAAAACAGGCCTGCTTTTGCTGATCTTTGAAGGAACACTTTTAGTGTATTCCACTGAGATATTGAATGTGGCACACATTACAAGATCCCAGCTCTCTTGCCATGTCTGAAGCCTTGTTTCTCTCTCATTCAGCTTGGTGTATGGCGGATCCCGAAGCTCACATCCAGACACAGATATTTTACACCGCCAAGCGTATGCCACTCCCCATCCTCTGCAGGGCTATGCCACAAACCATCACCCAGCAGGTATGGTGGTTGTCTTGCCATTTCCCTTGAAGCCTTAACAATAAATGTTTCTAACTATGTCTTTTCTTCCTTCTCTCTCCTGCTCACTTTTTCTTATGTTCCCTCTGTGCAGATCTGGATACACTGATGTTATTTTGCTTTCGTTTCAGCTTCATTTTATTTATTTTGCCTTCTCTATCCCTCTTTTATTCCAAGAGTAATCTCTGTGTTACCAAGATACCAAGTTAATATTTTAAATATGCTTAACCTATCTTTTCTTAATCAGAACATAGGTTGGACTGTCAACCAGAACAGTGGCATAGGGAAAATCAAGGAAGGTTGACCCTTTCTTTCATGCTTTAATTTTTCTGTTCTCCACTTAGGGGCCTTTTTTTTTTTTTTTTGGCATTTCTATTTTCTGCTGTTCAATTCTCTATAGTGTAGAAATGGGAGGTGCCAGGCTGGGTTATTCTATGCTCTAGTTCTATGGACTGAGTTGAAAACTTCTGAAGATCCAAAACTGTACGCCATGTTTAAGATGTGAAAAGATACATATTGCTCAGATAGAGAACCTTTGGTCCTAAGTTCCTCAGCTTCTCTAAGATCCCGGCTTGGTTTTTCTGTCACACAGCCCCAGGTTCCCCCAGTTCCTCATACGTTCTTCAATTCAGCTTGCCTGACTCTTCTCTCTTCTTTACCAGATGTTTATTAGGTCAATAGTTTCTCATTTTTCCCCTTCTGTCTGTATATGCCTGGCTTTTGACTGATTGCAACCCTCCGTTTTGCACTAAAACAAGCATTCTATAGTTGCTGTGCCTTTTGATGTCTAATGTCTGTCTTGTCTCTTTGTGGTTCCTCTGACAGGCATAATGCTTGTCCGCTTGTAGGTTCCCTTGCCTGTCCCCTGTGATGAACCTCTTCCTGTTTTCTTTTGCTGTATCTATCATCTCCTTTTCACTGATTCTTAGCACTTCACATCCTTTATTTCTTCTTTTTTCATTTCCTTCTTAGGTCTTTCTGGCTTATTCGAGACTGGGCTCCATCATGCCAGCAGTGCCACCCCCGATGCCTCTGTCATGAACCTCATTTCAGCTCTAGAGTCACGGGCACCACAGCCAGGCCCTTCTGCTTCCTCCCTGCTGTCCCAGTTCCGCACTCCATCCTGGCAAACAGGTAATGTCTCTGGAGTTCTGTCAGCATCACGGAAGGAACTGTGGATGTCTTTTCTTTGGAGGCAGAATTGGGCAAATTTTTATAGGAAGCCTTACTATATATCTTTATGACAGATATCTGGTGTATATATATATATGTTCTTATATATCTTACATATATATGTACGTAAGATGTTTGGGTGGGAGTAGTCTGTCCTTCTGGGAAATAGCACTTTCTTGATACTTCTGTGAAGTTGCTTTATACATCACTTTATAAATCACTTAAAATATACCACATTGTAATTGAAGCAAGGTTCATAATAAATAAGCAAATAAATGAACGAAGTGAAAGACTGAGTGCTCTCACTCAACATTATTGAATTAACCATTTGCTTAGTTTGCATAATGGACTGAATATTTGGCTAGTGAGATGGGTGGCATACAAATTTAATAAATAAATAATAAAGCATAAAATAATCAAAGATTGGGTTCATATAACTTGCTAAAAATCTAAGATTAAAGCTCACCTTAGCATGGTGAAATTCATCTGCCGGGTCTTTAATTCACTTATTTAAATTTGCATTAAGTCAGATTCTCGATCCATCCAGCTTGGAAGGGCAATCTGTTTCCCGCTTTATGATTGGGTTTCCTTATTCCCAGGTAGTATAGTAGTGAGAATTTTTATAGAACTTGCACTCCAAAGTAACTGGAAGCCCCCTGATTGCCTATTAGTAAACTAGCCTTATTCAACTGGCTACAAGCTTCCAAGGTCTTAGGCCAGCATCCTCCCCTCCCTAGTTTAATGGACATTGCTCAGAATTAAATTTAAAATCTTCTGCTTGAAAAGTTGTGCTTCGTCACTAAGATATGGCCTGATTATAATTGTCCTAGCTAGACATTAGCCTTGGGGATGAGGGAACATGTTTATAATGACATGACATTAGTAAATATGCTTTATCAACTCTTTGGCATGCAGTGGGTGAATTTCACAGAATGCTAGGCAAGGCTAAAATAGGATTAGGTAGCTTGTGATTCAGCATGTTATAGGAATTCAGCTATCATTTTCCTATATTGTAAAATCTGATTACTACATCAAACCATAACATGATTATTTCTTTGATTGCAACATGTGGAACAAAACAGTTTAATTAGTTAACTTGTGGTTAGATTAAGTGTGTTATGCTTCATCATTACTGTCCAGTCTGAGTAGTACTGTCCAGTAAGTACTGTGAGTTTGAGATTACCCTTGTGACCAAAGTTTTTAATTTGGTACATTCTATCAAATATTCTGTTTTTTTTCTTCTTTACAGCCATGCACACTCCAGCGCCTGCTGAGCTCTTCATCTCAGGGGCCCTCCCAGGTTCTGGCACCTTCCCTTCCTCATCAGCGCTCTCTGCTTACCAGCATCCAGCCTCTTTCAGCGGGCGCAGCTTCCCAGTCACATCATCCCTGACGCTCCAGGATGCTACTTTCAGCCCAACATCCAATGGCCTACTGTCCCCCCATGATCCTCTACTTCACATCAAATCCTCTCAGTCCAGTGTTCCTTCATCCCTCAGCTTTGACAGACTGGGCAGTGCGGTATTGGGTACGGGCTTGCCCTCTCAGAGCTCAGCGTATCGTAGTGCTCAAGAATCAGCTTCCCGCCACCTCCCCTCCCAGTTCAATCTTTTGTCATCCTCACTGGGACCATCTGACCAGACATCCCAGCTTTACAACACCTCAGTCTTCTCCAGTTCCCCTGCCTCCTCCATTGAGCGGGCCATCCCCCGGCAAGATAGTGTGATCAAACATTACCAGAGACCTTCTAGTGCCCAGCCGCAGCTGCCCGCTGCCCATTCTCTCCAGCATTATCTAAGCTGTGGGGGTAGCTACCAGCAGATGCCCCACCGTTCAAGCCTTTCCTGCAGTCCCCTTGGCGATCAGTCCCCCGCCAGCAGCGAAGGCTCTCAGCAGCAGAAGACCTCCCAGGCCACGCGGCAAGAGCCCTCTCAAAGCTACCGTCCCATTATTCAGTCTCCAGGCTATTCTGGTACCACCTCTTCTTCAAAATCCAAGAGTTACTCGGCTTCCCGCCAACCACCCCGTTCTACAGCCACGCCCAAGTGCCAAAGCAACTACAGTTCATCCACACCCAAGCCCAGCTCTGTCATTGCAAGCCAGTCACAGGCCTATTCACCTGGTCAGCCTCAGAGTCTCCTTTCCATGAGCCAAACGCAGAGTTATTCTGTCAGTCAACCACAAAATCTGTCTTCAGTTAGCCAGGCCTCTCAAGGCTTCAGCAGCAACCAAGCCCAGGACCTCACAAGTGTGAGTAAAGCTCAGAGTTATTCCAGCAGTGGACAAGCTCAGCAGGGCCAAGCTGGGCAAGGAGGACAAGGACTGCAGACATGTCAAAATCAGACTTACTCTCCTGAGCAGCTACAAGGCTTATCATCTGTTGGGTACAGTGTTCAGACTGAGCCCCATGTTTCTGTCAGCCAGACACCAAGCTATGTACCAGCTCATTCTCAAGGGATGCCCACAGCTAGCCCATCATTGAGTTACAGCACTGGCCATTCTCCAGCTATGCCAGGGCACAGCCAGTCTATTGGCTACTCTCATGGGCAGAACCTTCCAGATTCAAGTCCTTCCCAAATCATCCGGCCTCTCCAGTCACCTACCACTAACCGGCCCCAGAGTGTGGCATCGCCTGGCCAGACCCAGAAATATCTCACTTCTGTGCTGTCTCCTTCGTTCATGCAGACAGCTCACACACAAAGTTACCAGGGTTCCCAAGGTGGGCTAGAGAGAGCATCCTCTTACAATAAAGCCAAGGCAGACTCAGACCTGCTATCATCTGAGAGAACTGAAGATGAAGAGTTTTTAATCCAACACTTGCTGCAGTCGCAGAGCCCACCAAGGGTGCCAACAGAAGGCATGGTAGAGTGTGAGGAGAGGGCAGGGAAAGGGATGGGTTATGAATTGAGCAAGACTGAAGAGCGTTACCACTTGCAGAGTGTGATCCGGACCAACTCTAATCTGGACAACCAAGGCCTGGAGATGTCCTTGCAAAGCTTAAAGGACAAAAAGAAAGGAGAGAGGTCCAAAGAGTACTCCCACACGCGTTCCACTCCAGAGTCTTTGGCTACCTCTGTGGTCCATTACAGCCATCAAGCTGGCTCTATAGACTCTTACGGGCAAGACATAAAGAAGTCAGTGGAGCAGCACCTCCAGAGTGGTCACATGGATTCAAGCAGTAAGGAAATATCTCAGGCCCATTCTTATTTGCAGAAGACTCCTGAACACGCCTCCCAGCCTCATCCCATGGAGTCCCACGGATTAATGGCTGGCCAGCAGGGTGCAACCCTAATGATGGACTCCCCTCCCGATTTGCCCCCTCTTTCCCTTTCCCAGCAACAGCAGCAGCAGCAGCAGCAGTCCCAACTGCTCCAGTCAGTGCTCACTCACACCCAAAGCCAGATGCACTCTCGTGGAAAGGTTCGCACCCCACTGGATGTCCATCTTATGGAACCTCAGCGTATGCATCAGACGGAAGCGCCCTCACCGCAGCTTCAGATGCAGGCATTGGAAGCCCACCTCCATCAGGCCCATGTTCGTTCTCAGAGCATGGAAGCCCAGCTTCTTGAGCCACAGCAGTCCCCCCAGCTCCAAGGCCAGCTGCAGTCAGAAAGGATGCAATCTGAGGGCATGGAGGTAATGCCCCAAGGCAATCTTTCCCAGTCCCAAGAGATCCAGGACTTCTTGGAGCCCGAGCTGAGCTTGGAATCCCACCTGGGACAGGGTGGGACAGTGCAGAGTCAACAGCATCTCCTTCCTGATTCCACCTTGGACCCCGACTCCACCCAGCAGGTTCCTCAAGGCCAACTTGAAGGCAAGGACCAGTTTGAGAGCCCCAGTCCTCAAGGAGCCAAGCAACGGTTTGTCCCCCTCACTTCCATCTGTTTCCCAGACTCTTTGTTACAAGATGAAGACCGTAGCTTCTTCCCTGGCATGGAGGACATGTTCGGCCCCCCTCCCTGTGCAGCGGATGAGTTCCCTAAACCAGATGATGGCACGCAGGGCATGGAAAGGGGTGAAGGAATGAAAGGGGGAGGCTACGATATGATGCCTGGTGGACAAGGCTATCAGAGTTACTGCCAATCAGAAAGTGGGGATGGGCAGCACTTGGGGTTAGATACAGTGTCAGTCAAACACGAGTTGCCTTCTACAGTCAACACAGAACAACTGGGACTGATTCAGTCTGGCCAACATGGGACAGCTCCTGTTTCAGAATCCAAGTCGGGTCTGACCTCACCAATCTTCTGCTCTTCCAAGCCCAAGAAATTGCTGAAGACTTCCTCCTTCCATTTGCTGAAAAAACGGGAACCATCTTTCCAACCTCCCAAAAAAAACTATGCCCAGGAGTATGAATTTGAAGACGATGAGGACAAGGAGGATGTCCCAGCTGACATCCGCCTCAATAGCCGCCGCCTGCCTGATCTGCTGCCTGACCTCATTTCCAGCTGCCGGACAAACCGGACCAGCCTTAGCCCCATGGGCGACATAGACTTTTGCCCACCAAACAGCAGTCTCATGGAGGGGCCCAAGCGGCGAGGCCGCAAGCCTACCAAACCTAAGCGGGAAGGCCCACCTCGCCCCCGTGGGAGGCCCCGCATCCGGCCCCTGACTGAACCTCCCCACGGTGTGGCTCATGATGGCACCAAGAAGCCCCGTGGACGGGGAAGAGGGAGGGGCAAGAAAGCCGGGGAGGAGGGGGTTGAGCCAGGCACAGGCTTGGAATCCCTCAAACCACTCAAGGTAAGATGGGAATCTGAGGAGGCGAGATGTGCTTGTCAGCTAGCAACGCCTGAGGGTAAGAAAGGAAATTTTGGAAAGAGTACAGGGTAGAAAGAATAGCGATAGAACATTGGCTTCATAAAGAGATTTCAGTGGAGAATGCAATGGTAAAGGAATGTAGGAAGCTCATGTGTGTCCATCTAAACCACTGTTGCACTGTCCCTGACCAACTCTGTGTTGACGAGTCTCAAGTACAAATTTCTACTATTACTTGTATCTGAGCCTTTGTCCTTGGAGATAATAGGGATTTAATCTAAGCTTGTGTTAGCAAAGGTTGTGCTCTCTTGCAGAACTTCAGCATCTGCCTATTAAAAAGGATAGATATTTTAGGTCTCTGAGGTTATCTGTGGTGATGCATCAGTGAAGTTGGAGAGTTATTCGTACATGACCATGGTGATATAATAATAGCTCAGGACTTTGTTTCCTTAGGAACTGAATTAGTACAGATAGTTTTCATAGAGATATCATATTGATGTTTGTACAGGTAGTCCTCACTTAATGACCAGATGCTTAGTGAGCATTGGAAGTTACAATGGGTTTCCTCTCCCAGTTTCTTACGACCTGGTTCTGGAGTTCTAGTGGCTGCAAACACGCACACATACCAGTGACATAACCGAATTTCGGGTGCTTGGCAGTTGTCGCTCCTTTACAGCCAATCACAGTGTTCCACGGTCACATGACCACAATTTGCAATGTTTTGTCAGTTTCCAGCATTTTTGGCAATAAGAATACATGGATTTACCACAAAGTTGTAAAATTGAGTCGGGTCATGTGAATGCCCTGAGTTACAATTGTCATGACTTAGAATGGAAATCATCCGTTAATGTAAGTCGAGGAATACCTGTATTTTTACTACCATTGGCAAAAAAGCTGGGTTTTGGGTAAGGGAGGCAAGAATCACAACAAGAGTTTAGGTTCAGTGTTTCAGTTGAGGGTGTATCTGGGATATAATCATTTTGCTGATGCAGGTGGTCCTCAACTTATGACCACAACTGAACCCAAAATTTATGTTGCTAAGCAAGACAGTTGTTAAGTGCATTTTGTCCCATTTTATGCCACAGTTGCCACAACTTCTTGCCACAGTTGTTAGGTGAATCACTATAGTTGTTAAGTTAGTAAAATGGCTGTTAAGTGAATCTGATCTCCTCATTGACTTTGTTTGGCAAAAGGTCACAAAGAGTGATCACATGACACAGGGACACTGCAACCGTCATAAATATGAGTCAGTTGCCAAGCATCTGAATTTTGCTCAAATGACTGTGGAGATGCTGCAATGGTCGTGTGAAAAATGCTCATGTCACTTTTTTTCAGTGCTGTTGTAACTTCAACAGTCACTAAACAAACTGGTATAAGTCGAGAGCTACCTCTATGAATTTGCACTGTTAAAGATTTGTTTGTTGAAAATTAGTAGTTTATTTTGTTCGGTATTTGAGTTCATTTATTTCCATCCTGCTCCTTATAGTTGCAAAGATAGGTAAGTGTGAGTTAAGGATATTGGCACCCTGAACAAGATTGCCACAAATTTTTTTAATGGAGACTAAACATAACTTTTGCCGACTTATATTCTGTTCTAAAACAGGTTTCCCACCCAACAACTTGGTTTAATGTTGGCAACAGCAGTGCTTCAGTGAGCACCCAGACATCACTGTGACAGATCAGTGCTATGGAATAACATGATATTGAGGGCATTAGGCACAGCTGTAATGGCAATCTTAGAACACCTGCTAGAGACTTTCTGTGATTCATTGAGTTGGGGAGGCAAGTAGATGACAGGTTGTGTGAGGGTACCAGGATTCCAGTAGACGGTCTATGATTTTATGTGCTCATACGCAGCTGGGTTGTTTGAATCTTGCCACAATTTCCTGGTTTGTGCTTTTTCTTCTTAGTATTGTCTTGCTGTCATTTCTTCAGAGATGTATCAACACTGTGCAAATTTGAAGACATTTATTTGTTTGTTTCTTTATTTATTTGAATTTTTTATTTCTCCTTTATTAATTCATAAGTAGCTTAATGTGACAAACATAGAGTGGCGTGGTGGCCTAGTGGTGAAGATGCTCGCCTCCCACTCGGAAGGTTGAGAGTTCTATGCTAGGTAGCAGCAGATGTTTCTCTTCTAGGGCACAAAGAAAAAAATACCTGCTGTGAACACTGCATAGCATCAGGAAGGGCATCCGGCCAGTAAATGCTCAGCTCCATCCAGTCCATGCCCTGACTCTACCCCAAATTAAGGGATTACAGGGTCGATAAAAAGGGAGTTTTAATGTGGCAAATTAAAATAGATTTTAATTGTTTTTAATATTTGTATTTCATGTTTTTAATTCTGGCTGTGCACCGCCCTGAGTCCTCAGGGAGAAGGGCGGTATATAAATTGAAAATAAATAAATAAAATAAATAAATAAATAAAATACTCCTTCCCCCTCCTATTTTCTCCACAACAACAACCTTATGAGGTTGGGCTGAGAGAGAGTAATTGGCCCAAAGTCAGTCAGCCAGCAAAAAAATCAGTAGTTTATTTTGATTCCTGAATGTCTGGGTTCCCTAGTTGGGCTTTAGTGCAAAAAAGAATTATATCTCAGATGCCTTTGCTTCTCTGTAAAATTATAATGATAATGGGTTCATGTTTTATTTATGAAAACATTTATCCTCTGCTTTTCTATAAACCACCCATAAAGCAGCGTGCAATATTGGAAATAATCAAAAGGAAAATCAATTTTAGTACCTAATAAACAACTAGTAGGAGAAGTGAATAAACATGGGTTGGGGCCACTGACTGAAAAGAGGGTATGGGGTGGGGGGAAGGAGAGTCTCAATGCTATAGCAGAAAACGCCCTGTCTCATGTATCCATCTGCCACAGTTCAGCAATAGTAAGGAGACAGTAGCTTGTTGTTGAACGGAGTATATGAATAGATTTGTACAGGTAATCCTTGACTTATAACCACAGTTGACCCCCAAAGTTATGTTGCTAAGCGAGGCAGTTGTTAATGTGTTTTGCCCCATTTTACAACCTTTCTTTCCATTGTTAAGTGAATCACTGCAGTAAATTAAATTAGTAACACAGTTATTAAGTGAATCTGGCTTCTGACTTTGTTTATCAGAAGGTTAAATAGGTGATCACATGACCCAGGGACACTGCAATCATAAATATGTCAATTGCCAAGCATTCAAATTTTGATCACATGACCATGGGGATGTTGCAATGGTTATGTGAAGAAAGGTAATAAGTCACTTTTTTCAGTGCCGTTGTAACATTGAACAGTCACTGCATGAACCGTTGTAAGTCAAGGACTACCTTCACAAAATGAAGCCATGCTAAATGTAGCCTAGTCTCAGAGGTTTTTCAGACTTGGCAATTTCCAACTCCCATAATTCCTCAACTGGCACGTCTAAAGAAAGGACAAAAATGAAGTTGAACCAAGCATGATTAAATGCAGGTTGTTGATAATGCCCAAAGTTTAGTTTAGTTTAGCTTATTTGATTTATATACCGCCTTACTCCCAAAGGACTCAGGGCGGTGAACAGCCACAAGATAAAAACCCATAAATACAAAATTTAAAAACAGAATAAAACCGAATTAAACAATTTGGCCGAAGACAGATTTAAAACAGCCCAATAAATTAAGAACGAATTAAAATTCGTGTTTTAAAAGGGGGGAAAGGGAAAAATTAGGCCAGGCCAGCCTGATGGAATAAAAAGGTCTTGAGAGCGCGGCGGAAGGTGCGTAGATCCGGGATCCTCTGTATCTCCGGGGGGAGCTCATTCCAGATAGTAGGTGCCCCCACAGAGAAGGCTCTCCCCCTGGGGGCCGCCAGTCGACATTGTTTGGCCGACGGCACCTGGAGGAGCCCCTCTCTATGAGAGCGTACCAGCCGGTGGGAGGCTACTGGTGGCAGCAGGCGGTCCCGTAGACAACGAGGTCCTAAGTCATGGAGCACTCTAAAGGTGGTAACCAAGACCTTGAAGCGCACCCGGAAGACCACCGGGAGCCAGTGTAGCTCGCGCAGGAGAGGTGTTACATGGGAATGCCATGTCGCTGCCATAACCACCCGCGCGGCCACACACTGCGCCAGTTGGGGCCTCCAGGTGCTCCTCAAGGGGAGCGCCATGTAGAGAGCGTTGCAGTAGTCCAGGCGGGAAGTGACGAGGGCATGAGTGACCGTGCATAAGGAGTCCGGATCCAGAAAGGGACGCAACTGGCGAATCAGGCGAACCTGATGAAAAATCCTCCCGGTCACAGCCGTCAAATGCTCTTCTAAAGACAGCCGTGAATCCAGGAGGACGCCCAAGTTGCAAGCCCTCTCCGTGGGGGCCAGCGATTCGCCCCCAATAGTCAGTGATGGCACCAACTGACTATATCGGGACATCGGAAACCACAGCCACTCGGTCTTGGATGGGTTGAGCCCGAGCCTGTTTCTCCCCATCCAGATCTGCCCGGCCTCCAGGCACCGGGACATCACTTCAAGGGCATCGTTGGGGTGGTCCGGGGTGGAGATGTACAGCTGAGTATCGTCAGCATACTGATGGTACTTCACCCCAAAACCACGGCTGATCTCGCCCAGCGGCTTTACATAAATGTTGAACAGAAGGGGCGAGAGGACCAACTCTTGTGGCACCCCACATATGAGGCGCCTCTGGGTCGACTTCTGCCCCCCTGCCAACACAGACTGCAACCGGTCGGAGAGAAAGGAGGAGAACCACTGCAACACAGTGCCCCCCGCCCCTAACTCTTCCAACCGGTGCAGCATGATACCGTGGTCGATGGTATCAAAAGCCGCTGAGAGATCTAATAGGACCAGGACAGAGGAGCAACCTCTGTCCCGAGCCCTCCAGAGATCAACGCGACCAATACCGTTTCCGTGCTGTATCCAGGCCTGAAGCCCGACTGGAACAGATCCAGATACAAAGGGCTCTATTGTTTTGGTTTACTTCTTTAACACACAAGCAATGCTATCCTGCTCTTAGGCTCTTTCCATCTACCACCCAGTTGCTTGGAAAAAATAAATACCCAAATTCTTTTTAAAAACTTATAATATTGGAAGCCAAATAAAAAAATAGGTATGTGTATAGTGCACTTCATTTGCCTATATCTGGATTTGATTGAAGGTCTACAGGAAAGTTGGCAATAGCGAGAATTTTTTTTTAAAAAAACGGCCCTTAAGACAAGATCACTAGGGCATCGTATAGGACTACTAGGGCAGGAAATTGCTCTCCATCTCCTCCCTTACCTCAATTCCTGTCCCTTCTTCTTCGCCAGATAAAACTGCCAGTCCCCAAAGGTTTGGAGGGATCTCAATTGGAAGCTCCCACCCCCTCTCACCAGCCCACCCAAGAGAGCAACTTGGATAGTAACCAAACAAGAGAGAAGATCAAGCAGAAAATCAAGGAGGTGGAAGAGAAGCAGCCAGAGATGAAGTCAGGGTTCATGGCCTCCTTCCTGGACTTCCTGAAGTCAGGCAAACGTCAGACTCTGCCTTCCACTGCCATCTCCTCGGCAGCAACAGTTGGGGCCTCCAGTACAGCAGCACCCGTGGTCTCTTCTGCAGGCAGTCCATCCAAGTCGTCTCACCCGCCATCAGCTACGTCCTCCCAGCCTCCACCTCCCTTTGGCATGGCACCGCCAATGCTATCTGGTGGTTTGGATGGACCTGAAGGAGATGCAGCTGGGCTTGTCATGAGTTGTACCAGCCCCTGCAAACGGCTTGATGAGGAGCTGAAACGTAACCTGGAGACATTGCCCTCATTCTCATCAGATGAGGAAGATTCTGTTAGCAAGAACCAAGACCTGCAGAAAAGCATCTCCTCAGCCATCTCCGCGCTCTATGATCCCACTGACCGTAAAGATGGAGAACCCAGTGGTGAGTGCCTGCGCTGCACATTCGGATCATGGTATCCCTTGCTTTTTGTGACTTCCGTCTTTTATCATTACATGATAGTGTTTATGATGTGATCATTACATGATGATTACATGATAGTGTTTATGGTGTGATGTGTCCTTTTAACAATGTTGGCACCATTTCTAGGGTGTAGTTGACTTTGTACAATCACTACGGCATTTTGTGCAGAAATTTATTTTATTTTATATATTCATAGGACTAATACAGCTGCCTATTCTCATGCAGTCTAGGCAACTCACAACAATATTTTTTTAATAATTTATTTTATTTAGAAAGTTAAATACAAACTCCAAAAAAGAAAAAAAAATAGAAAGATAAAACAAAGATAAATACAACATTAAAAAAGAAAGAGAAAATTATCCATGCTAAATAGATATACACATACATGTACAGTAGATGGACATAAAGACAAACTGGGATTTCTAATTAAACAAATCTGAACTGGATGGCATGCTACTGTAATGCATTCAGCTTGTTTACTCCTGCTTAGTCTTCTCATTACGTAAACAAGTAAATACAAGCAGGATTAATTTGCTTGAAGGTCCACCTGGGGTTATGGTGAAGTGCTCCTAAATAAACTCGAGTTCATAAACCTATTTTTGCAGTACAGTTTGCAGTTGGTTTATAAATTATGGCTTATTTAAATTTATCCAAGGCACATAAAACTGATCTATATAATTTGCTTATTCATTAGCTTAAAGTGAGGAACAGAACTGGAGAAAATAAACTAAGTGCACTAATTTGCAGTTTATTTACATTTATGATTGATTAGGTGAGAATTCCTCGCTTATTGTTACACGTGAAAAGCGCCTATATTTAATTGCACCTGACAGCATGGTTAAAATCTAACTAAATACCTGAGCAAATTAAAAATTAAATGCAGGCATGGATGCCTGAAAAGTCGAAGGCATAGTAATATAAATATATGATATTAACAAGAGGCTGGTTCTTTCATTTTAAGCCCTCTAAAGTACGTGTTGGTAAACAGTAATCAAAAGAATATCTCCTCAAATTCAAAGGGGTTCCAGAGCCAAAGTATGAATTTCCTTGCTGGATGACTCCTTCCTGTTCTCTACTTTGTTTCCTTTTGCAGATGTGCCACCAGTGGAGGTGAAAGTCCCTAGTCCTACTCCTTCGGTGGAGGCAGATGTCCAACAAGAGCAACCACCTCCACCCATCTCCCCAGCCCCCTCACTCAAGGAGCCTCCCCCAGTGCTTGAAGAGCTACCGCTACCACCACCACCACTACCACCACCACTACCACCACAGGAATCTCCTGAACCCGAAGACCCTGAGGACACACGGCCTCTTCACCTTGCTAAGAAGCAGGAGACGGCAGCCATTTGTGGAGAGACAGATGAAGAGGAGGTGGAGAGTGGTGGGGAGGGGATCTTCCGAGAGCGGGATGAGTTTGTCATACGTGTTGAAGATGTTCAGGCTCTCAGGGTATGTAATGTATCTTGAGCACTGGCATGGGAATGTACATTAAAAGAAACACTTCCAATATTAAAATTGAAAAGTATTGTACTCTTAAGCAGAACTAGATGGCTGGATGTCCTCTGTGTTTTTGACTTCCTCTGTTGCTAGCTGAAGTTTGTGCAAAGGATTGTGGGAATTGTAATTCAGAATATTTGGAGCATGCTAGTTGAGAGTTTTGGGTTTGTTTGTTTGTTTTGCAAACTGGGTTTTTCAAACTCAAACACTAAGTTAAGTGTTGCAGCTCAAAAAATGATTAAGAGAAGAATTTCTCAACATTTAAAGTTTGAGATTCTAAAAATAAAAGAAAACCGCAAAAAGTATTTGAAGGAGAGAAAATTGTGTAATTAAAATGGGCAGTTGTAAATGATAATCATTGGAGATCAAACTGAATTTAATCGCACTTCGTTCCCATTGAGATCAGGAACAAAAAATAACCATAATTAAATTCACAGGGTCCTATACATATAGCTTAGTTCTAGATGCAACTTTAAAAGTCCATTTATTTCCCCAAAATTACTTGTAACTCGCCAAAGTTACTTCGCTTTTAAAATGGTACTAGGTGGTTGATGACAACTATTATATCTTCTATATCTATGGACATATGAAGAATCAGATTAGCTCATCACTAATAGCCTCATACAGAAGAATAAATTGTGAAGAAATGCAGTAACTCTGGGAGCTCTTTGTTGTCCTTTCGTGCAATTATTTTCTGCTAGGGAATATTGGCTAGAAGACAGTAGTTGAGCTTATTAGCTATTTAATACTTGACATCATTGTAACTACTCCTTTGTCCTTTTGTAGCTTGCACTTCAGACTGGCCGGGAACCACCTCCAATCTGGCGAGTACAGAAAGCTTTGCTTCAGAAGTTTACACCTGAAATCAAGGATGGGCAGCGTCAATTCTGTGCAACCAGCAATGTGAGTTTCTACTCCATCTACTTAAATAGCATCATATCTCAGGGAAGCCAAAGCTTCAGAGATGAGAGAATTTCACCAACATGATAATGTACGAAACCAGTAAATTAAAGTCAAGCTTTAAGACCTGTTCTCATTCTTTCTTTTGCTCCCCCCTCCCTTTCTCAGTATGCTTCTGCCATGATGGTAGCACAGGGTCAAGCCAAATGCAGAAGTACTTCTGTTTTTTTGGCCTGTTGATAAAAGAATAACTGTTCCCCCCACCCACCCAGTTTTCTTCTTAGGATAGTCGAGTTGAGCAATTAGCTTGATCTATTATTGTGTTGGGTAAAGGACTTTAATTCCAGTTCCACTTGTTCCCTCATTACTTCCAGAAGAAAAGTTACAAGTGGGATGGTTCTCCCTTCCCCTTTCTTTTCTTTATTCAATTCTTTATTTTCCTGCTTCGTCCCTCAGTATCTGGGCTATTTTGGTGATGCCAAGAACCGTTACCAACGACTCTATGTTAAATTCTTGGAGAATATCAACAAGAAAGATTATGTCCGTGTCTGTTCCAAGAAACCCTGGCATCGGCCTCTGCAAGCTGTCAGGTAAAGAATTAGGAAGGTGAACTCATATGAGGGAAGTCCAGTTCCATCTGAGGAACTGTGTGCGTGTATTTGTGTGTAATTAACTAGGTGACTTCCATATAAGAAATTTTTCTGATTTTTTAAGTTCTCTGTTTTTCAATTCTGTTACATCACCTCTCACTTGAAGGTGATTGGCTTCCTTTTCCCTCTTCCAGCTTAGGGGCAAAAGGGTTCAGCCTCTTTTTTTTCTGTTCTGGTTAATCTTAGAGTGGCTGGTAAAGTTAAAGAGGGTGGGACTGGGTGCCTTTACTTCCCTTACCAATTAATGCTTTTCTGGGGATCCTTTCCCTTGGAGCACCCATCATCACCCCGATCCATCTTGAACAGTGAATTAGATAAGGCTGCCTGAACTTTGGTTATGCTTGATATAGTTTCCCAGGGCCCCACTGTTTCACTGATTTATACTATTTCTTTGCCCCCAAACTCTCTTGCTGCAATAAACCTGACCACTCAAGTCAGCTCTTAGTGCTCTGTTTTTCTGGTGCAGGAGACAAAGCCAGCCCAAGGCTTCTACCCCCAAGGTTCCAATGACACCCAAAGTTGAAAAACCCGAGAAGCTGGAAGTCCCGGAGAGAGTTGAGAAACCCGAAAAGCTTATTAAGGCTGAGAAGCTCCCCAAGGCTGCTGAAAAAATGGACAAAACAGAGAAGCCTCCCAAAACGGAGAAAGGGCCTAAGCCAGAAAAGGCCCCCAAGGTGGAGAAGTCTGAAAAGCCCACCAAAGCAGAGAAATTGGCCAAGGCAGAGAAGCCTCCCAGAGTAGAAAAAGTAGAACCTTCTGTGCCTGTGCTGACAAAAGCTGCCCCAGCTGGTGGAGCTTCTAAACCCAAGTCTACGAAGCCGGCCAAGGTGAAAGCTGAACCACCCCCCAAGAAGAGGAAAAAATGGCTCAAGGAAGCAGCATCTTCTTCAGACTCAGATTCCAGCCCTGACCAGCAGAGTGAGGAGGGTGAGTAGAAGGGGAGGGGGGGAGAGAAACTCCACCAGTTTGATGAGCGTCACAACCAGGCAGTTAAGAAATGAACTGCCAAGAATCTCTGAAGCCTGGAAGGCAAAAAATGTGGCAGAGCTACTGGATCCAAAGGCAGGCATCACACGTAGCACCAGAGTTCCTCAACCTTGGCAGCTTTAAGCTGTGTTGGTAGGAACTCCAGATGTTGGTTGGGAGTTCAGGTTCACACATCTTAAAAGTTACCAAGCTGAGAAACGCTGCATTATACTGTTATGTCTTTCATGGTAGTTTGGTGTGTTGTCTGAATTCAGTTCAATTCATTGAACAGATCAATGTAGCTAAGCATACTGTGGCTCACTACCATGTGTGTGTGAACGAGATCAAGGAGAAACTGTGAAGTTACAAGGATGGATAATTTAAAGTCCTCTATATGTTCCAAATTAGATCCAGCAGTTCCCAGACCATGAGAAGAAAAGAAAAGAGTCCTGGGAGTGGTGTTACAGCCATTTTTAAAAGGCCACTGGTTCTCTGGGAGCCTGAGAAAGGGATTTTATCATTAACCATAAAAGTCAGACTGAGAGAAATTATGGAAGGCTGATAACAGGGAGTAGAAAGAAGGGTTAGGATTAGAGTTAGCCGTGTCTACAGAAGTGAAGGATTATAGGAACCTCTAGAGGAAACAAAGAGATAATGACTTTTCCCTCTCTCCCCCTCCTATTTTTGGTTGTACTGTATGCACTGTATAATCCAGTGCTTCTCAGCCTTGGCAGCTTTAATATATGTAGATGTCCACACCACTCCCAGAATTCCCCAACCAGCATGTTGGCTGGGGAAGTCTGGGTGTTAAAGTCAACACATTTTAAAGTTGTCATGCTTGAGAAAAACTATGTAATACAACCTTAGAGTATTCCCCATTTGTTTGTTTGCTAACCTATTTTGAATCTATTTGAAAAGCAGGGCTACAGATGTCTACCATAATAAAATAATGCTCTATTTCCCATTTAGAGCGTGTGCCCACAGGCCGCATTCTCAATACACGAGCCATGAAGGAGATGTACCGCAGTTACGTGGAAATGCTGGTCAGCACTGCCCTTGATCCGGACATGATACAAGCTCTTGAAGATACAAACGGTGCGCATTCTTGTGTACAGGTGCTTGGATGGGCTCATAGGCCGGTTTGAAATGCCTCTGGCTTTTGTTTTCACAGGCCACTCTTTAGGAACCATGTGGCCCTTCGCTTTGCGGTGTTCGCTCGTTGTTGTTGGGTTTTTTTTCCTTGATTGTGGCTAGCCTTCTGGAAATATAAAAGCTTTTTTGTTCCCTAACTATTCTTGCTTATGAAATTCCTGAGGCTAGAATCAGATGAATATATACAATCTTGTTCTAGCTTTGCCATTGGAAGAACTAGAAATATACTGTTTTGTTTTTTTTAAGTACCCTGTTTCTCCCAAAGTAAGACATCCCCTGATAATAAGCCCAATCAGGCTTTTGACCACATGGCAATAAGGCCAAGCACTTATTTCAGGGTTCAAAAAAATATAAGATAGAGTCTTATTTTTGGAGAAACACGGTATAAACATCTCCACATTCTTTTTAAGATGTGTGATTTGCAAAATGCCGTATAACTCCCCAGCTTTGGTTGGTTGTGACTAGGGAACGCCACTGAATGTTTCATTATACTCCTTTCTGGCAGTCATTTGTATTACACAAAGATATGAAGAGCTGGTTGGAGGAGGGGTTCTCAAATTTTGTAATCCCACAGCCTTTAAAATGAGAAATGAAATAATGTGTAAAACTAAATAAAAAGTAAATAATAAAGAAAACTCTAGTTGTAATTGGCAGATGTTTTTGACAGATGTCAAGAGCTTTGGGTTAAACCATTGTTCAAAAAGCTCTCTGGTGTTCTGTTCCTTGCTTTGCATATGCAAATTTTTATGCTTCTCCAGGGGAAGCAGGAATGAGTTTTAACAGTGCTTCAGTTTTGCCTGCCGAAGCCTAATAAACCCCCCTCCTCCCAAAAAGTGCTTCTCCTCTGAACTGTTTTCTTGGGTCTAGAGTAGTCCTTTATTAAGTGCTTATTCATAACATGTAGCATTTTGAAAAATCTGGTCCTGCCTGAAAAATTCCAACTTCTTCAAAAAAAAACAAAAAAAAAAAAACAGTGGCATTTGAAGCCTTGTTATCTTCCTTTCACTTGCTTGTCTAGAACTCAGTCCATTGCAGCTGGGTTTCCTTAGTGCAGGACACTGGCTGCCCATGTCCTGCATTGCAGATTTCCTGTCCCTGCCCATCCTGGATGCTTTTTTTTCTTTTTCTTTTTTTTTTTTTTTGGTGACCTTTGCCATCTGTTTTGACAATCCTATCCCAGATGAACTTTATCTCCCGCCCATGAGGAAAATTGATGGGATTTTGAATGATCATAAGAAAAAGGTGCTGAAGAGAGTGTCCCTGAATCCATCACTACAGGTACGAAAAGAGGGCAAGTAGACTCTGCTGTTCCCCAAAGAATGGTTTTTGAAAAAAGGGTATTTAAGTATATATTTTGCTTTATTGCCAAGGTTTGGCTCATGTATTTCCTTCTCATTTGCCTTCATAACAACAATGGGGAGCAGGGAGAGGCCTTGAAGACCAAAACATTTGTAACATATTCAGGAAGGTTAAGAATCCAAGCCCTTGACTAGCAGCCCAGATGGACTGTTGAATCCTGTTCTATATATAATTATGAAAATCACGCTTAAAATGAGATTCAAAGCTGCCTTGGACATTTCAGTTGTCCTAGCTATCTAAATGGCTCTGCAGTGTGACCTTCAGTTCATGTATCGGCAGCTTTTTCAGGTGGGGTTGATGGTACTCAATCATATATGTTGCAGGCATGCCAGAAATTTACATTGGCATTTTTTAAGAAATGGGAGTGAAATCTCTCTTAATTCCTTCATTGCACAAAATTTCAGTGATTTTATCTTACAAAAATCTCAATACTGAATTTTACCTCATGAATTTTAGCCATATTAGGGAGCAGGTGTATTTTATTTTGAAGGTCTATTGATGGTATGTAGAATTACTTTGCTGGCCAGTTCTTTAATATTTTTTATTTAAAGTGTACTTTTAGCCATAGAGATTTGTACAAGATTTCACCATAAACAGGAGAGATTGATTAATCCATCTTTTTTGTGTGTATTAGCAATACATAGTGAAAGTCATCTTTAACTTTGCATGTTTCATATTGGGAGGGTGATTTATACATTTGGTCCTCATTTAGCAACTGCTGCAGTTACTGACAGTTATAAAACTTTACAACCAGTCGTCACATTTATGACCTTTGCAAGTCTGTAAAGCAAAGGAAAGATGAAATAATCTCATAATCATAGGTTTCACTTAGCAATTGTGTTGCTTCTCAAGTTGGCAGTCCCAATTGTGGTTGCTAAATGAGAGCTACCTGTATGTCTTGTTGGAATGATCAGAAAAGTAAAACTAAAGGGTCTTTTTTCTATTTTTTTTAACATGAGACATCCTATCCTGAGCTGGCTAAGAAAAGCCATTTCTCCCCATTCTGCTTAAAACAGTTTGTGAAACAAGAAAACAAATAAAATCTTCAAATACAGAGGAAAAACAGGTTTCTTTGGTGTCACTTTGCCCAGTGCATATTGGACTAAGAGCATTACATGATTTTACAGGATCTCATATTATGGGTGGCTGCTTAAATAACCTATAGTTCGATTTTTCTAGTAAATGAGCATTCTGTTTAATAATGATGCTCTTGTCTGTTTCACAGAAAGTCCTACATCATATATAGAGTGGAAGTTCTCCCTTTACCTCTAATTTGTTGCCTCTGAAGTCTTTTTAATGGCTGTTCCCAGCTCTATTATTTGAGGATGCCCCCATTTCTATACATATATTTAAATATAGGATTTGTCTAAAATCTTGGGCTTTTGTAACAACAGAAAATGGAAATAAATGACCCAACATCTGGAAATTGTGAAGACACTGCTTCTTCTCACACATTTATTTTCTTCCCCATTCAGGAGGCACTCCACATGTTCCCCCAACTCCATGCCGAGACATGTGATACCACAGTTAAGTTGCGCCCGGCTGGTGAACCTTACAACCGCAAGACTCTCAACAAACTCAAGAAGAATGTATCCAAACCGCAGGTAAGAGTTGCAGATGAAGATGGTGGCCAGGCTCTGGTAAACATACTCATTTGCATTGATTACTTTTATCTCTCTTTTCCATCAGAGAGGTCAACGTAAGAAAAGTTGTGCTCCTACTCATCTTCTTTATACTGACAAATTGCAAGAGTGAAAAATAGATCCATAGGGCAGTAATGAGAATTTCATGACTGAGGAGTGATTGCTGTCAGTTTTTTTGCAGTGGTCCACACAAGAAGGACACCAACCAGACATAACTGTATTTGACACCATCTTGTTTAGCTTCACCTGTCTTCTGTTGAATTTAGGCAATCAACTATTTTTCTGGAGCTTGAGTACCAAGAAACAAGAAAACATTCTGAAAGTGCTTCATTCCAAAAAGATATTTTCTAACAGTTTGCGGGGGGAAATGGAACGTTGTCACATGACTATGGTATAAGTGCTGATTACTATTGCAAGCACTGTTTCCTGAGATTGTCCTAAGAAGGAAGGCTGGAACTATTGAATACAATCTTGTCTGAGGCCCAATTCCATCAGACGGTCCATGATATCAAAAGCCCCTAAGAGAACAATTAAAAATTAACTTCATCTCACACCTAATTCCTGCAGTAAATCATCTCCCTAGATAATTGCAAAGGTCTCAGGTCTTCATCTTAACTGAAAACCTGATTGAAAGTAGGGACTAGAGACATGAGGAAACTGAGTCTTTTTTTACTAAGTGTTAAACATATTTTAGCAACTGATTGATTGATTATATGTCATCAAATTATTTTCCAACTCCTAATGACTGCGTATATAGATCTTCACCATGATGAAGATCCCTAAGTTGTGTTTTTTTAGTCTCCCCATAATGCACTCATCACCACTGTAACTGAATCCATCTACCTTGGTGCTGGTCATCCTTTTCTTCTCTTTCATTCCATCCTTTTCTTTCATTCCACCTTTCCCAGAATTAGAGCTTTTTCCAGAAAGCTGGCTCTTCACATGTGTCTGAAGTAGAATAATTTGAGTTTGGTCATTTGAGTGAGAAATCAGGTTGATTCCATCAGTTTGCTTTCTTGGCTATCCACAATATTCTCAGGAGTCTTTTCCAACACCAAAGTTCAAAGTATCAATATTCTTCTTACACAATTTTTTTAAAGACTAACTTTTGCTTCCACATGACTTCCCCAACTCTGTTCTTTAATAAGTCACTGCTGCATTTGAATATCTTTTCCAAGACCTTCATTGGTGTTCTACCAAGTACTTGACTGGGTTGTATTTCTTGATTGCTTTATTTTTTACTGTCAATGATTAATCTTAAAAGGCAAAAGCTATCCACGATTTTGATAATTTCCTTGTCAGTTCTGAGGCTGATTGATCTACTTATCATTAATTTCATCTTCTTTATATTTAATTTTAATCCTATTTCTTTTACTGTGCTTTTTCACTATTCACATTGGGACACAGATCCTTTGCACTTAGGCTAACAAGGTGATGTCCGTAGCATAGTGCAAGTTATTGACATTTCTTTCTCCAGCTTTAAAACAATGCTCATCTATTGTGAATTCCTTTAATATATACTCAGCATAAAGGTTAAATAAATAAAGGGAGAGTATGCAATCTTGTCAAATTCCTTTATCAACTTAGAGCCAGTCTATTTCACCATGTTCTATCTATACCTTTGAGACGCCTCTCTCTTGCCCTGTGTTGCATTAATCTCCACTCCAGCGTCCTGTGCCTCCTTATCTCCCTTCCATCACTGTCCTCTTGACTGACCTGCAACCCATTGCCACTGCTACCCTTGCTGGTCCCCGCTAGCGCCAACTGACCTTCACTGTCGTCTTCTTTCACTGTTGCTAAGGTGCACCCAGCCAATGTTGCTGATGGTCCTTCAAGAGGCTGCCACAATACCATGAGACTTTGGGCATGCCTTGTTAACTGTGGAAGGAAGCTGAGGGTAGTGTGGGGTGGCAGGATGGCACAATGCAGGGGAAGCGAAAGGGCAGAGATTGGGGCGGAGGGGGTTTATAGATAGGGAAAAGTTGAAACATTGTAAAATTGACTTTACAATGGCATTTTCATCCATACCTCTGTATCTGGCATTCTGAAATAGCATTGTCCATTAAAGATCTGATTCTGTGGCTTCATTCCCCTTCATAGAAAGACCAGGCCCATTGATTTGCCCTATGGGTCCGTGCAACAGGCATCAAAGGATTTTAACATTGTTAGTTTAATAAAGGCTGAAAAGAAAAGATGAGGACAGGTAAAAACGTTATAGATTTTTTAAAACTTAATCATTGAGATAAAATATTGAATATGAGATGTAGAAGTTCATGGCTAATATAAAGTTGCTGATAAATGTGGTTTCCCTTCACTCTTTGTCCTTATTGCTGACAGGAATTCAATGTGGAAGTGGAGAAGTCCTTTTTCTATACTCTGTACCATTCCCTTCACCACTACAAATACCACACCTTTCTGCGTTGTAAAGATGAGGTAAGTAAAGCCCTAAGTAAATCCCATTTGGGTTTGCAAGTTGTTTGTTAGATTTATATCCTGTCTTTTCATCCAGGAGCTCAAGACAAGCATGTATAGGTCTGCTTTCTCCCATTTTTTTCCACAACAACTCTGGGAGGTAGGTGTTGCTGAGGAAGAGTGCATGACCAAAAGTATGATTTGGTCATACTTCTTGTCAGTGCCAGTGGTGTTCAAGTGATACTCCAAATGTTTTGTGATTGTACCCAGGATGCCTATTACTACTGGGACTATCTTTGCTCACTTTTGCCACAGTTGTTCTACTTCTGTTTGAAGGTCTTTGTATTTTTTTATTTTCTCCAGTTTTTTTCCCTTTCTATTCCGCTGTCTCCAGAATAGGTACTACAGCATCCACTATTTAGACTATTTTGTGTTTATTATCAATGGGTGTTAAGTCTGGAGTATTACTGGCTGGTGCTTATCTGTATTGATTTCTGATGTCCCAGAGCACTTTAGCTTCTTCGTTTTATTATTATGGCTCATCTTGCAGTAAATCAGATATGGTAATTAAAAGAAACATGACATTTTTGCCCACCCAACCTTCTCAAGGGCTTGGATGGGGGAGGCACATGTTGTTTAATGGTGTTAAAGGTATCATGGCACAAACTAAGCTCTTCCAAGTAAAGCTGCCTTTTGTAATTGATTGATGTTGATTTTATTAAGGCTAATAGTGGTCAGCGTCACCTAATTTTAACTGACTCTCAGTGGCTCACAACAATAGAATAAAACAAAATAGGGGGGGAAAAGACTAAAACAAATACAAAAATAAATTAAAAATAACTACAATATGGATGTTCTTAAATGAAGAAATCTTCCTCTAAATCTCCAACACTAATATGTAGAAGTGTTATGTTGGAGCTGCAGTTTGTGAAAACCATTCAAATTACAAATTGTAGTGCTGCGTTTAAAAAGTCTCAGTCTTTAGTATTGTTTTGATTAGTCTCGGCGTCAAAGACAGACTAATCAATTATGGCTCTTTCCAGAAAGATACAAGCAGTTTCTACATATTAGAGATGGCATTGTAAAGAAAAAATCCTTCATTTAAGAAAATCCATATTGTGGTATTTTGTTTTGTTTTTTTTAAGCTAGTTTGGTATTTCATGGCTAATTTTTCAACCTTTTCATTTCTCTTTTCTAGACAACGGCAATTGAGGGTCAAGACGAAGATTTGGGCCAGGAGGAGGTGGTGCAGCAGTGCATGCGCAACCAGCCATGGTTGGAGAAACTCTTTGACTCCTTCAGCGAGTTGCTGACTCAGGCACAAAGCAAATGTGCATGACACGGTCATCAGAGCTACGCCCCAGGAGGGGCCGCCTAACGCCTGCCCCTCTGCAGAGCCAGAGCAGGAAGTGGGGAGAGGAAAGTCGAGGGGTATCATTACAGGCAACGAGTTCAGACTCAGCTCACACCACCACCACCACCCCTTCTCCTTGGGGGTTTCTCTTTTTCCTTAAACAGGACATGGGACAAGCCTCTGCTATGGTGGTGGAGGGTGGAGGTTTGCTATGGCAGACAGGACATGTTGAAGAGGGTTCTCATCAAATAATTGGATGGTTGGAACACCCTTTTCCCTTTTGCCCTGGCTGTACAGAGAAATATTATTTATATATATAAATGTATAAATATCTAATTGAACAGCCTTGCTCCCTGCTCAGGGGGGATTGAGAATAGGGGAAACTCATCGGAAAGTCATAGGAATGGGTGGTGTGGTGTGATTTAGAGCCGAAAGGCTTCTCGGTTTCTCACCATGGAGTGAGCTGACAGTAGTGAGATTGGTGAAAAGAGAAGGACCAGGTTCTCCTGGGGTTCTACCCTCCATCTCTTCCATCAAGAACTTTTCTTCTCCTTAGGGAGAGTTGAGAATTGAGCGTGGGGAGGTGGTGCATTGGCCACCCTTTACACAGTGTCTAGCTTCTTTTATCCATGGTCTGATCAGGAAGTATGACCCCTGTTCTCCAACAACTCTAATCCCATCTCTGCCAAATAACTGTTGTTTGGAGTGAAGGGAAGCCATCCATCCGTACACTAATAGCAATCACTTCTATTTTTGCTTCTAATAGGAATATTTATTGCCAAGCTCCTTGTTCCCAATCATAATTGGTAGCACCAATTTTCTCTCTTTCTGGAGAAACCTCCCTTTCTTTCTCTCCCTCCCTCCCTTTGTGTATTCATGGGGCAATTGCCGCTGGAGGATTCACTTTTTTTGCCATTGAATTGGGAATTCTAGCTCATTTGGGTATGTGGAACTTCCCCTATACTTTCTGAATAGAGAGCAGTATATGGGCAGGGGAGAGCCTTGTGACATCCAAAGCAACCTGCCGAGATTGTAGCAAAACTTCTGAAATTCCCCTCACTTCCCCCAGATTTCACAATTAGCCCCCCTTGAATCATGGGAGGAATTGTATAAAGGACTTTAGATAAGTCCCTTCTCCAGTGGTAGATCTGCACTTCTGTGAGGGAGGGATAATTTGTTTTTTTAATTTTTCCCCATTCTCCCCATATTACAGTGTCTGAGAAGGCAGGATTCTGCTCCCCCCTCCCTGCACCTGTATATACTGTATAGGATAAAAAAAAAAGTCTATGTATCATATTGTATTTGACTAACTTGAACTTAATGATGCGCAGGAGTTTCTCTTTCTCTCTCTCTCTCCTTTCACCTGTAGCTGTGATGTTCTTGGTTTCGACTGAAACTTTCATTAGGAGGTTGTTAATTTTTTTTAATCATTGTTGTTGTTACTGAGGGGGGGGAGGGAAATTTTATGTCCCCCACCCCAATCTGCCTCAAAAACAAAGCTCCCTCTCCAACGCTAAACTGAAACGATAAAATAAACTCTAATGAGCCAGAGGATGAAGATCTTGTCTTAATTGCCCTTTCTTCAACTCCCAAGTGGGCTCTCCATCCCTCAACCAGCTATCCATTATCTTATGTGTGTCTGTCCTGCCCCCACCCCCAGTAATCTTTCCCATTACAGATACTCCTCGACTAACGACCACAGTTCAGCCCAAAATTTCTGTTGCTAAGCAAGGCAGTCTTAAGTGAATTGTGCCCCATGTTATGAATTTTTTTTGCCACAATTGTTAAGCGAATCAGTGCAGTTGTTAAATGAATCATGTGGTCGTTAAGCAAATCTGAATTCCCCCTTTGACTTGCTTGTTGGAAGCCAGCTGAAAAGGTTACCAATGGTGTTCACATGCCTCCCTGGGACAGTGCAATTGTCATAAATGCATGCCAGTTGCCAAGTGCCTGAATTTTCATCACGTGACCATGGAGATCCTACAACAGTCATAAGTGAAAAACTGTCATAAGTCTTTTTTTTTTCAGTGCCGTTGCAACTTTGAACGGCCAGTAAATGAATTGTTGTAAATCAAGGACTACCTGTACATCAAGCACACACTTTGGCCAACCATTAGCATTCTTCACCCCAGATCTTCCTCTAACCTCCCAAAGCAATCCCTTACTTGAATGTAGATCTTCCTTTGTCAGATTCCCGTCTTTTTGCTAAAGTCTACCTCATTCTTCCTCCATTGCTGTTTCTCCCTCTTTCACACCTAGAGTCATGTCTTTGAGGTGGGCGGCTGTATAAATTTGAATGAATGAATGAATTTGCCTTCCCCCTCCCCTCCCCCCCATCAAGTCATCCTTTATTCCTAGCCCATCTCTAGAGCTGTGTTCCTCCTTCATCACTAAACATTCCTCCATTTGAATTGTCCTGTTCTTAGAAGAACTTTGATCTTTCCAAAACTTGCTATTTCTTTCTGCCAACCCAAACTTCAACAGAAGTTACGGAAATTGCTCCAGTATTTTTTTTTTCCAATTTTGGGTATCAAGGAGGGAGGTGTGAAAAGGAACTTCAAGGATAGTGGGGAAACAAATTCCACTTCAGAATTGGTATTCTCATCATAAAGACCTACTTCAAACAAATCTCTCCCTGGATCAGCAAACACAGAAATGTACTAAGACCTGTTTGGTTGCTTAGGTCAGAGTCCCCAATGTATGTACTCAGATACCGTTGGCTCTCATTTTGCCTCCTCCTCCCTACCTTATTTATTGTGGATGAAAAGGCAAGGTTGGCATGTGTGTATGTAAGTATGCACGGTTGAGGGGGAAGATGGAAGATGAAATCTGGTAAATGTGCCCTAAGCAAAGATTTTAAACGGGAGGGTAGCCTGGTTTGAGTATTTTGAACCTTGCAATTCAGATTTTTTTTAAAGCCATCTTTCCCTGATAGACCAGGTTATTGGTAGCTGTTGGCCTTAGAAGTGATGAATTGTGACAGATAGCCGAGTGTGGAAATGGGGTTAGCTGAACAGGGGTTTGGGGAAATGAGAGTAGAGTTGGGGGAATCTTTCATATTAATTTTAGAGGGACCTAGAGCCTTGGCACTTCTTGGGACAAAACACTTGCACCATCAATTCCATGCAGAACCTTGCTAAACCATCGCTTCCAGTTGGAGGGACAGAGTAGCCAAACTTGAGCTCTCAAAATTGGACAGGCCCAGCTCTGAGTTGATCAAGGACAAGGACAAAGACACACACAGAGAGACATGTACAGCTCAATTTCCTGTGACAAAAAGAGACTTTCCTCCTCCGCCACCTACCCTTATATTTGGATCTTGAAAGGCCCCCTTTTTTACGACGTGTATTTCTGTGTATCTTGTTCGCGCCTCAAGGGTATTGTTCTGAGATATGGGATTTGTGTTCTGTATTATTGGATGTTCCTATATATTTTTATTGTTTATTATTAGTGTCTGAGACGTTTTTTTCTCTCAATATGTAAAACTCACATTGTATACTGTGTACACAACAAAATGACAAAAAAACACTTTTCTTTGCAAAAATCAAATGCCTGAAGCAGAGTTTTGTTCATTTGGTTGAGACTTGGGTGGCCATGGGAAAAAGAAGGGCAGTAGTGTTCTAAAATAATGATGGGGGAAACCTGTCTGTTTTTCCCATTGAAGCATGAAACACTGGCTCTTGGTCTCAACATCTGGATGGTCTCATCCAATATTCTGAAGTTTACACAATCTCTTCTTAATTTTTTCCTCCTCTGCAATCCTTAAAGGGTATTAGAAACATTATTCCTGGCTCTACTTTCTATTCACTGGACTTTCCTATCGGATGGAAGATCAACCATATCACCTTATCAGAGGTGCACCTGCCATGCAGAATAGCAGTGCCGTTTTAGTTGTTAGTTGTGAAGTCATGTCCAACCCATCACGACCCCATGGACAATGTTCCTCCAGGCCTTCCTATCCTCTACCATCCTCTCGAGTCCATTTAAGTCCATTTTAGTTACAAACTAAAATGCCCCTATGTGGCACAGAGACAATCTTTCCAATAATGTTAACAAAACATCAAAGTTTCTTTGATCATCTTTTATGTATTTTCTATTGGTACCATTCTATCTGTGTATTTTCTGTTGGTCAATTTCAAAGGCACTTCTCATTGGTCAGAATCTGTTTCAATATTCTATTGCCAGTGGTAGCTTCATGGATACTTTGTATACAGGTAGTCCTCGACTTATAACTGGTTGCATAATGAGTTTGTTTAAAGTTACGACAGATCTCCCCCAAAAACCTACTTATGCCCTTTTTTTTCAAAATTGTGATGGCCGCAACTCTGCTGCTCGGTATGGTCACTTGAACACATTTTATCTATTTGGCAGCCAGCTCACTTTTGCAGCCTTTTGCAGTATCCTGCAATCATATGACTGCAATTTGTAACATTTTTTGCCGGTTTCTGGCATTTCCAGTTTCACATAAAAATCACCCATTGGAAAAATAAGTGATTCACTTAACAATAGGAGTATTACTTAATGACTATAGCAAAAAACATTGAAAAATTAGGTCCAGTCACATGATGCCTTAATATACTGTTTTTTCTCAATATGTAAAATTCACATTGTGAACTCTACACAAGTCAAAATGACCTTATGTAGCTTCTACACAACTCCACTAATAAGATGCCAATTGATCATTGCTCAAGAAAATCTAAGATTTGTAAAGCTTATATTAGAAACTTGTTCCAGATTGCAGAAAGCATTTTTTTATCTGGGAAAAATTACAGTTTTATAATTATATCTCCAGGGCTATCATAAATCACTAAACACTAATACTGAACTTCCAGAATGATTAGTAAAGAACACATTTAACTCTCCATGTTAATTCATACTGAGTCATTACCAATACTTTTTAATATACTATAAACTTTACATTTCCAAAATTTTCCCCCACCCAAGCTTTCTGTATATAAAAGTGCATACTGTTTTTCATTTCATGCATAGACATGTTAAATGTCTCTCAGGCAATTCAATTATAAAAATTTATAGCATTCTTCATATATTTAAACACACACATACATGTAGTATAAGATAATAGAAGTATGCATTTTTTAAAAAAGGTACCCCACCCCATTTTTTAAGATGGGGAAATTTCTTCTTCTGAAGTTTGTCAAAGTATTACATAAAGGCTGATGCGTATGAGGAATGGCAACCTTTCATTGGCCATAAGCCTCACTGGGAAGTTGGACCAAGAGGAACAGCAATACAAAGGAAACAGGGCAGGCCCAGAAATTTCTCAAGGTTTCCCCCCACCCCCACACTTTCTTAGAAAAGATTCCTACTTGTTAGAAAGTTGGTGCTTTGTAGAGTTAACACTACAAGATTGACCATATAGCATGCATTTTTTTCAGAATAAGCTGTGATCAACCAAATAAAACTGTATTGTGGCTTAGTATATCAGCTTCCTTAGCCTAGTGTGTTGAGCTTTTATATGTGCTTGTTATGTACCACCACAGTAAAATTACACACTGATAATGGAAATGTTTTCCGTTTATTAAAATTATGGTTAAGTCATACATTCACAAGCTACGGCCATTTTATCATTTAATCAGTTTTTAGTTTCACTGTTGTATCCTTGTGCCTATGTGCACATATATGTATGCATGTATGCATGTTCCTTTTGGCCTTAGAATAACACTTTGTACCAGAAGTTCCCAAAATTCCTTGGTTCATAGTGCTGTTTTAGAATCGTTGGCTTAACAGCACATTTACAAGGATACTATGGGATACTTTAAATTACATTGAGAGTTTGTCAAATGTTGCTGCTTCCTTTAGAAATTTAAAATATCCATGGTGCCTTGTGAGTTCGCTTTGGCACTACAGCACATTTTTGTAACTGTAGCCTTGTAAATTAATAAAGAGGCTCTAGCTATGAGGGCATATGCCACAATCAGTTTTAATTAAGTAATTAAGGGGGAAACCCCAAGGCTTTACTATATAATCTTTGCTCAGGAGATTCTTTGGCATTTATAGCTGGAACGCCATGCTCTGCAGCATGGTAGAAGATAGAAAGCAAGATGCTTTCTATTCACTTTATCAACTGCAAATCTTTATATTCTGGGAGCATCAGTAGATATATTAGTGAAGACTGTCTCGCAGGATACCTTCTCTAGTTATGCATGTGGTCTTGCCTGCTGAGAATTTTTTTCTATATCTTATATATTGTCCAAGGCCTAACACTTTCCCCTTCATTTTCCCCATATCTACTTGATAGGGTGACTGGGAGGTAGCAACTGACCCAGTAAGCTTGTATAACCATAATCAAAGAGATCCAGATTGAACATGTTAACCACTACTCCCACCCTAATATCATCTGAGAATTGTAATCTTAACACATCTGAGGTCTGGGGAAGGTGATGGATGATGGAAGAATTAGACAATGAAAATGATAGATGGAAGTGTTGAATGGCATGCCAGAGTGCAAGGATCCACTGACAAAAATCATCCAGTTAAACATGTATGCAACTACAGTATTGATACTTCAATAATGATGGTATACTTCAACATGATAGTATCCCTAAAGTTGTTGGAAACCCCTATTAAGAAGAAAAATTACTAACACAAGGAGTTGCTATTTTTTTTTAAAAGTTCTTGACATCACTTTCCCTTACAAGTACATTACAGAAGTGGGGAAGAAAGGATGAATTTAACAAAAGCTGGCCATGTCTTCAAAAGAGCAGCTTTTGAACTGAGCAAATTACAAAATTAAAACTTGATTCTAGCATGCATTTTAGGTTTCAAACCTTCATTTGGTAGAACATTGAGAACCTAGTAAATGGTTCCGCAGGAAGCATCATCATTTATCGGCGTGATGGAAACAGTCAGTTCTTGTTTAGCACTGCTCACAAATATGACAGTAGTAGTCAATAGTAAAAAAAAAAAAAAATCATTTTCTGACCAATGTGCACACATATGACCAAATTTCTGCACTGACAACTAGGCATCCTGGAAAGTAATGCTGGCAGTGCCGTACAAGAGAACTTGATAGAATCAGATAGAAAGTGATCTTTGCAGCATTTCTCTATGTCATGTGCTTGATTTGGTCATCATTTTGCTCAGCGACCATCTCCCTGCAATAAATTGTGGTTGCTAAACAATGCTGTATTTTGTAATTGGCCATACCTATCATAGTAACTTGCTTTGTGACTAGGTGACTCTCACAATATGGCAACCATATTGTGGCAGCCATCACAATCTTCTGTTAAAATATCAAAGAGTCGACTAGCTTCCTCCCTTCCCTACAACTTTGCAAATCTCCTTACTATAAAGCATTGTTTCCCAAACTTGGCAACTTGAAGACTTGAGCTGCTGGCTGGGGACTTCTTGCTGATTAATTCTGGGAGTTGAGATCCACACATTCTGGAAATTGAAGTCTTACACATCTTAAAGTTGTTAAGTTTGAAAAACACTGCTATAAAGTGTGCTTCTTTTTAGCCCTGCTTTAGAAACAAAAAAAGTCAATACTGGCAACTTGCAAGACAGTATAATTGTGTCTGCAGCTGCTTCCCTTGCAGTTTGGCCCATGTGTGGCTTAAGTCTGTAAGCTATGATTTTAAAAAAAGGAATAGAAAAATTATAGTACCTTTTAAAATGCATTTGTACCATGTCTTTCAATATGTAGATAACTGTGTATGTGCAAAAGCTTGCCCTTAGCTGCAGTGAAATAAATGATCCTTTGCAGTTGATTCCTATTCTTTAACTCATTGTATCAGTGGACTGTCACTGAAATTTACAATCCTGTACCCCTTTTATCTAAATGAATAAATTTTCTGCCCCTTGGCAAAAAGGGGCAGCTTTAAAGCAATTTCCACCAAAGAACAAAGGAAGGCAAAGTAGCAAACAAAACTGAATGCATATCCCATAGATTCAGGATATGTTGGAGGAGAAGAACTTGTCTAGTCCCTGCTTTGTTCTCAGTTTACAGATTCCTGTGGAACAAGAGAAAAATGGTAATACATTTGTATAACTAAAAAAATACACAGTGTCGGTCCTAATTGTAGTAGGAGAGATGGAACGAGGAAAATCCTGCTCTATCTTCTTGGTTGGAAAGACTCTGAGCCCCTCCTCTTCCTCTTCCAGGCTGTGTGGCTTGATGTGGGATGGCAGTTTACAGAATGGAACAAGGACAGCTTTTGCGATCCTTCTTTTTAGGATGAAAGGCAGGGGCAGGGGGAGATTCCAATTCATTAAACTTCCTGCCATAAAAAGAAAAAGAAAATTGGAGTGAGCAAAGGAAGCAAGGCATTAAATAGTGTTTGCTGTATCACATTACTTTGTGGAAAAGTTCTTACATAACATAAGCACCACTTGAAAAAACATTATTTATATCCCTGGAAGGGGGCAATTGCTATTACCCAGGAGGCTATACAGTCGGAAACAGTGTACTAATGCTTTGGGCATCCAACAGATGACGATTATTCCTCTGGATTACACTGTGCGAGGTTCCAGGAAAGTGCTGGCTGGAGTACAACCAAGATCATTCTCATCCCACTCACTATGCTGGATGGCCCTTTATTACAGACCACACAAAAAATTCAAATCTTTAGCTTGTGATTCCAGAAATGGTAGGCAAAACTCCTTAATGATTCATGCTGAATGATACAATTCTAAATACAGGTAATCCTTGATTTACGACTGTAATTCAGTCCATAATTACAGTCATTAGTCATGCTGGTCATCAAGTAGGTCACCACACGACCAACTCAACTTTATGACATTTTTTGCAACAGTCGTTAAGCAAATTACCATGGTTGTTAAACAAATCTATCATTAAGTGAACGCCGTGGTTGTTCAGTGAATTCATAGTCCACGGTGGGTGTTTTTTGCTCGGAACTGAAAGTAAATTTATTTATTATTATTTTATTAGTCATATTTCTATGCCGCCCACTCTCCGAGGACTCTGGGCGGCTTACACCAAAGACAGTATACTAAATAGCATATTGCCCCCCAACAATCTGGGTCCTCATTTTATCCACCTCGGAAGGATGGAAGGCTGAGTCAACCTTGAGCCGGTGAGATTTGATCCGCTGATCTGCTGAACTAGCAGTCAGCTGAAGTAGCTGCAGTACTGCACTCTAACCACTGCGCCACCTCAGCTCATGCAAATGCTGGTTGCTGGCAAAAAGTGGAATTTACAGTCACATAACCATGGACACTGCAAATAGACATAAATGCACGCCAGTTGCCACACTCTTAAAATGCAATCACATGACTCCAGGTGAAGGGGGGCTTCAAATCTGAGTATAAGTACCTTTTTGTTTTGGTTTGCTCTAACACTGAACAACCACTCAAGGACTAATTGTAGAAAGCAGGACCTTACATGCTACTAGGTTTCATAGCAGAAATCCCTACTGTCCACCCTTGTCAATACAACTCTTAGTGTTTTGATCTTTAAACTCCATATTCCTCCTTGTTTTGGAATCTTTACTGAGTAGCCATATGGACTTCCTAGGCCCAATTTGGAATTTTGGACACAGCTGCCTAGCTGCAGCTGAAATGTAGCCACAGTCTGAAATATCAGGCAGAAAGCTGCATCACACAAGAAAGTTGATCTGAACGTATAAAAATATATGGAATAGCTAATATTGGAAAATGTACATGCATCAGGTCACTTAACAGTGAGATTAATTTCACATGGTCTTCAACCTCACACTTCAAAAGCCTTTATAACAGGAGTGAAATGCTACCGGTTCGGACCGCTTCACCCGAACCGGTAGTAATAAATGCCACTGGGTGAACCGGTAGTAAAAAAAATGCCATCAGGTTGGGCGAATCGGTATTTCCAACGATCAGCTGTGCTGCGCAATTTATATTCCCTAGAAAGCAGGAAATCCTGCTTTCTAACAAATCTAAATCTCGCAGCATAACTGTTCCCCCCCCCCCTTCTACTGATCTTTGCAGACTCAGAAAAGGCTTCTTAATCCTCCTTTTTCAGTGCTGCACAGAGAAGCCTGCAGTGCGCATGCACGCAAAGCGCACATTTGGTGTGCACTGTGCATGTGCACACAAAGCGAACTGGTAGCAGACTTCAAAGCATTTCACCCCTGCTTTATAAGCAAGCATCAAGCAAACAAACAGGTTTCTGTTCCAATCAATATCTTTCTGGCTGCTAAATGGAGAGTGAGAGACCAGGAAGAGTCAGAGAAGAGATTAGAAAGGGGGGAAAAGAAAACTCTTTTTATCCATCAACCCCCATCTATGGAATCCATTTCCCAAAGAGTTTATGTTTCATCTCAGCTCTCCCAGGTTTGAGGAGAAGATTGAAAACCTATGTATTTCACCCAGTTTCTAAGTAATAAACTGATTTTGTTTTAGCAGTATAAGTTATAATTTCGGCTTGATTTTAGTTGCATTGACTTGTTGTTTTTATTTTGAATTACTGTCAACTACCTTGAAAATGGTGTGAACAGAAAGACAGAATTTAAACTTAAGAGAAAGAAAGAAAGAAAGAAAGAAAGAAAGAAAGAAAGAAAGAAAGAAAGAAAGAAAAATATTTAATCAGAAAAAGCCTTTCTGAGGAATGCTGTCCTAGAAAAGAGTTTTCTTCAGTTTGGGGGAGTTTCAGTTCTTTCACAGCATTGGCTTCAACCACAGCTGCCTTCCTCTTACCTGATAGCACGGACCAGCTCATAGAAAGACTCATCCACATTGAATCGGACCTTTGCAGAGGCTTCCATGTAGGGGATTCGGTTCTCCCGAGCAAAATAAAGGGCCTCCTCTTCAGTTACCTACCAATAAGGGTAAATAAAACCTTAATACAGAAATACATGAAATACAGCAGTATAAGGAAGAAAAAAATGATGATTATGTATTCACAATCAGAATAGGTGTAACCATCATCATTTGCATGGTCCTAGTTGCCTTATTTGTTGAGTTAACACAAAATGTAAAGATGAGAAACAAAAGAAGAAAGGGGTGCTGGGGGGGGGAATAGAGGGACTATCATGCCTTTTTGTCCCCCTATTTTTCCAAATGCTTCTTTCCCTAAATCAAGATGATTTTCCTCATTCTCTTGAAATTTTGGAACTTAACAGAGTTCCAAGTCGATAAATATATGACTTGAGAGGTGGAGGATTTTATAATGGCAGGAGGCTCCATAGTCAGGATGTCAACAGGCTGACCAGGTCCACATACAAGGTTCTCTTAGGCAATTTTGGTATAAGCTCCACTCTTCAATCTTTTGCAGGCTTCAGTTTCTGGGAGGCTAAAAGCACATATGTGCTACTCATTCCCGACTCAAGGGGGCGGTGCTCATCTCCATTTCAAAGCCGAAGAGTCAGCGCTGTCCGAACGTCTCTGTGGTCATGAGGCCAGCATGACTAAACGCCAAAGGTGCACGGAACTCTATTACCTTCCCACCAAAAGTGGCCCCTATTTTTCTACTTGCATTTTTTACGTGCTTTCGAACTGCTAGGTTGACAGAAGTAGGGACAAGTAATGGGAGCTCACCCTGTTACACGGCACTAGGGATTTGAACCACTGAACTGCTGACCTTTCAATTGACAAGCTCAGCGTCTTAGCTACTGAGCCACCGCATCCGGGAGACTAGTGGACACTATATAGAATAATATGTTTTTGGGACAAGAGGCACTGACAACAATTAATACTTCCATTCCTTGGATTCAGAATCATGAGATGAATTAGGGAGGAGGTCCACTGCTGCCCTCTTGAAGACCAATACCCTGGGTTTGAAACTACATTCACTAAAGTCCAGATCCTCAAGGCTGAGCCAATATCTTCTGAATCACAACAATGATACATTTTCCTTTCCTTGGTTATGTGTAGGACTTTGTTTCCTTCTTCATCAACTATCTTAATCCAATTTGTCCTTCGCCTGATATAGACTTTGGCGGTCCTGCTGGATTACACTACCCCATTTGCAACTCAGGGGTTCTCCTAGATTCTTGACTCCTGCTCAAAGAGCAGGTGGCAGATGTGAGAAGTTTTGCCAGTTTCTGCACCAGCTGTGACCCTTCCTGGGTCATGACTCCCTAGTTACTCAAGCCCTATTCATCTCTCAGCTGCAAAGCACTTTACAATGGAGCTACCCCTGGAATCCATTTGAAAGTTTAAGCTTTTTCAAATGTGGCAGCGAGAGACATCTTTGGGAGCCCTAGAATGGCCCATATTAAGTCCTGCTAGAAGAAGTCCATCCCACTCGTGCCAACAGACAGGGCATATTGTGGATCCCATTGGTCAAAGAAATCCAACTATCAGGATTGAGAAGAAGAGTCTTCTCTTCCGTTGTGCTCGCCATTTAGAACATCCTACACCCCACCCCCCAAAGAAAGAGCTGCCTCCACCTCCCTATCATTCCATAAGAGACTGAAGGCCTGGCCCTGCTGGTTGGCCTGGGTCCCCAATGGGGGAGATGGTTACTAGATTAATAGCAAACCCCACTTCCTCCCTTGCTGCCTGCTTCCTCACCTGCCCATCTTTTATTCTCACATCACTATATTCTCATTGTTTTCTTTTTTATTCTATTGTTGCATTACTTTACTATTGTTATGTTCACACTTTCTTTTCATTTCTCCGTTTTTATTGTTGTAAGCTACCTAAAGTAGCCACATGGCAAGACAGGTAGCAAATAAATTTAACAAATAATAATATTACGAAGCTATGCTGCCTTTTAGAAGAGACTGTAATTTGAGCTAGTCATATTGCTTGTCATAACAAGAAACATGTGCCAGCCTTGAATTTCTTCCACTAGTCTACTCTAGCATATGACCCTCATTATTCAGCCTGGTTTATATGAATTTGACCAAATGAGAGGTCCATATATCTCTCTCCATACCTTTAAATAAAGCTTTCAGGAACCGCCACTTGAGGCCACTTTTTCTTTTTCTTTTTAACATATTTATTTTGATTTTCTTTTGTCAACAAAAATAAAATACAAAATTGAAAAACCAACATCCAACACTAAGAACAAAAAAAAAACAACTTATGTACAAAAAGAAAAAAGAAAGAAAAAGAAAAAAATCCCAATGTCAAATAGATCTAACATTAAATATTAAAAAATCGACTCTGAATAGATACTGAAAAATAAATAAAAGAAACCTAGCATGTTCTCCTCCCCTTACATAACAGGTTTACAAATAATTATAAACTTTCCCATCTATATTTCACAGAAATGCTATATTAAATAAACAAATCTCTTCTCTCTAATAATCAAATCAACATCTAATCACGACATATATGTAAAAGGAAAAAAAAAACATTCAACAGGTTAGCCCAAACATTACACTAATCTGGAGCTCCTCACTTTTTCTAGGAATGCCAGGATTTTGGAGATTGGGCTACTATATTCCTGGAAGGGAAGAGACTCATCTATTGGTGGAGTCAGAGGCAAAATCATGCCCAGTTTATTAATATTATCCACTCAATCCAGGCAATCATCTGGCCTGGAGATTGGTGAAAATCATAAGGCTCGTGTGCCTGGTAGGAACAACTGATAGAACTAATGCATAGATGGTCTCCTGTCTCTCCTTTGGTGCCAATATATTTTGGCAATGCAAGAAGTATGCACTTGTTTTCATTGATTAGGAAGCCCAGATTCTCATCAAGGTCTTGCCAGTAATCCCTGCTTAATCAAGGAGAATCAGAATTATTTGATGCAATATGCCATGGGTTAGGACCAGTGGTGGAATTAATTTTTTTTTTACTACCAGTTCTTTGGGCGTGACGTGGCTTGGTGGGTGTGGCAGGGGAAGGATACTGCAAAATCCCCATTCCCTCCCCACTCCAGGGCAAGGATACTGCAAAATCCACTTTCCTTCCCACCTGGGGGAAGGATATTGCAAAATCTCCATTCTCACCCCACTCCAGGGGAAGGATACTGCAAAATCCCCATTTCCTTCCCACTCCTGGGGGAAGGATATTGCAAAATCTCCATTCCCACCCCACTCTGAGGCCAGCCAGAGGTGGTATTTGCCATTTCTCCGAACTACTCAAAATTTCCGCTACCAGGTTCTCCAGAACCTGTCAGAAACTGCTGGATTTCACCCCTGGTTAGGGCAGTCAAAACTATGAAAATTGATGACAGACTCAGTGGCTTTAAATTGACCCTGGGTGCCATGGTATTCGCATCTCAGGAATTTCTTTATGGGGAGGATAAATAGAATTTTTTTTTTTTAAATTTGATTTATATGCCGCCCTTCTCCGAAGACTCAGGGCGGCTTACAATGTGCTCAGCAATAGCCTTCATCCTTTTGTATATTTATACAAAGTCAGCTTATTGCCCCCACAAACTGGGTCCTCATTTCACCTACCTTAGAAAGGATGGAAGGCTGAGTCAACCTTGAGCCTTGGAGAGATTCGAACCCTGCAGTAATTGCAGGCAGCTGGTCTTAATAACCAGCTTAATAACAGGGTGCCTTAAACCCCTGTACTACCAAGGCCCTAGTAAACCTATTATAAATTCATGACCAATTAGATAATTAAGCTTGCAACTATCTAAGGTGTGATTCTCTTCCCTAAAGTGCAGGATAGTGAGCCCTTCCTTATTCCTAAAAATTATAATACGCCTTATGAACTTGGGAATCAATGATCAGGTAGGCAACCTGATTGCCTATACTGTATTGTCTATAAACTGATGGATTTGCTAGATAGACGAAACACATTAGGCTGTGTTTAAAATTAATATCCTAATGTACCACCAAATCCTACTATGTGGAAATTAAAACACAATACTCAGTGAGCACTTCTACTCACCTGTCGATAAAGATCCAGATCAGTCTTATTGCCAACAAGCACCATAGGGAACTCATCACGGTCTTTCACTCTAAGTATCTGAGTGTGGAATTTGTGGATTTCATTGAAACTATGACAAATAAATGGGAGTAAGACAAAGAAGGATTTCTCTTAATGTGCTTTTCCCAGATATACTATTATTATCTTCCTAATGAAGAATTCCCTCCTGTTGCTTCTAAAAGAAGAAGCAAAAATCACTACACCAATATCAAGACCACTACAAGTTTTTCCTACATTTCAGGAGATTTTCTGGGGAACATTCTAAGATCAAAGGTCTGTTTGAGCTTCCTGGCCATTTTAAAATTCATATATTTCTTGTGTAGTGATTTAGTAACAATGGCTTTCTAAATCTTTGTTTATTTTAACTATGTAAAAGGCATGAATATACTGAACTCACACAATATCCTAAATCAAAGAGATCACGTTATTGCTTAGCATAACGCACTGGCCAGGCACTTTAAAACTTATTGGGTCTAGCACTATTTTTATTTTTGTAATTGCTTTAATAGTAGCTTCAGGAAGTATAAACAGGACTAATTGTAATTTAAACTACCAAAGATATTTTTCCTCAAATAACCCCAGCATTGCCAATTTTTAAGCACCTAATACAAGAAGGAAAAGCCAGGAAACACTTTTGAAACTTTTATATCCCAGCCTGCCTTTCTCTGGCCCATTAGGTCTGCATGCCGTAAGCTACCGATGATCTTTTTGCATTTTTGGTAAAAACACTGAGCAAGGAGGAAAGAGAAAGAAAATGAGAAAATCCTGACCTCAAATATCTTCAATCTAAGTCTCACCCAACCAATGGCACATACCAGGGGTGGGTTCTAAATTTTTTTACTACTGGTTCTATGGGCGGGGCTTATTTTGTGGGCATGGCTTGATGGTCATGTGACAATTATTTAGGATTTAGCAGAGGTACTGGTCTACCAGGCTGGATCTACCCATGTATTTTTGCAGGCACTGATCTACCCATGTATTTTTTGCAGGCACTGATCTACCCATGTATTTTTGCAGGCACTGATTACCCATGTATTTTTGCAAGCACCAATCTACTCATGTATTTTTGCAGGCACCGGTCTACTCATGTATTTTTGCAGGCACTGGTCTACTCATTTGTTTTCTTTTAACACTGATCAGCTGTAGGGCGGCCCTTTGAAGCCCCACAGCAAGAGTTTAAACAGGTTTTTTCCCTCTAGCCATCAGCTGGGACTCAGGAGGCAGCAATAGATTGGGGGTGGGGGCAAATAAAAGGTAAGAATAATGCGGGGGGCGAGGGGGCCGAACCGGTTTGGTGATGTCATATCGTCACTGCTACCAGCTTGGCCGAACCGGGCTGAACCGGGAGGAACCCACCACTGGCACAAACACCTAATGAAGAAAAGATTTTCATACCATGTAAATGCTTCAGCTTTGATCTCACCTGCCCCTGTCATTGACAGCATAAACAAGGAGGAAACCTTCTCCTGTACGCATGTATTGTTCCCGCATAGCTCCAAACTCTTCTTGACCAGCAGTGTCCAGAACTGATAGGTGAAAATTGAGAAGGGAAGAAAATAGATTAGATCCCAATCAATCTGACTATGAAGCATGTAGAAAAGGAGATGAGAGAGTTTAGTGTGGTGGTATGGAACCAGTTCAGCTGTCCTGAACTACAACTCTACAAGACTCAGACAAGGCAGCCAATAAAAGTAATACATTAAAATGGACACAGAATACTAGGTTGCCTGTTCCCATCTTACGTCACAATGACATGTTCAGTTTCAGATGTTATGACTTTCTTCAGTAAAAAGCTTTCTGACACAACCACTTTCTTTGATAGCATTTCATGAGCCTCCACTTCACAGGAATGTACCAAGATTCCTCTGATATTTTTGGAATGTTGGTACATACAGTAGACTACAGTACATTAAAAGAATAACTCTCTGACTTTCCTTACAGGTGCTGTCACCTGTAAGCAAAATATTTTGTTGGGCTGGGAGATGCTCAAGTAAAGTTTCTGCAACAGATTCATCTGAATTTCTAGTAGCTAAAAAGTGCTATATTCCCCCCATTGTCAGCATGCAGTTTTTGTTATAGGTTTTAAACAGAAAAAAATTCTTTCAAAAAAAGAAAGTATGAATAGGCTATATACACTATCCTCAAGCATGATTCCACATCACCAACTCAGGTACAGATCCTCCATGCCAGTTGATAATACACTGCTTTCATATTTATTTTATGGTTTCCTACAACCAATAAGTCCCCCCAATAATATGTCCACATAGATTAATCTTACTTTCAATTGGATGGCAAATTCAATAGTGGAAATTATAGTCCAGCAAATCTAGAAGGTATAAATTGGAAAGCACTGATTTATGCAATGAATCTTTCTCTCCCAGTTTATTTGCTGGAATCCACTCTACTAGCTTCCCTTCTCTCATTCCTGCCTTATTTTCCTCCATGGCAAGGAAAGATTAAAATTTGAGTGTTGCAGTCATGAAGGAACCCACATTGGGATGGAAATAGTACCTAAGGATAAAACATACAAAAATAACATGTAGAGACCGCTCTGCCTCGGGTTTCTCCACTATCCCATACAAGTGAGTCCTTGACTTATTTCCATTCATTTAGTGACTGTTCTAAATTACAATAGCACTGAAAAGAAGTGATTTCTGACCATTTTTCACACTTATGATCGTTGCATCATCCACATGGTTATGTGATCAAAATTCAGACACTTGGCAACTTTTTCATATTTATGATGGTTGCAGTGTCCCAGGATCATGTAATCTCACGTTTTGTGAGCTTCTGACAAGCAAAATCAGTGGGGAAGTTAGAAACACTTAAACCTGTTACTAATTTAACTTAAAATCTGTGGAAAGAAAGGTTGTAAAATGGGGCAAAATTCAATTAACAAATTCTCACTTGACAAAATAATATTTGGGATTATTATGGTTGTAACTTGAGGAACTACTTATAGATACATTCATTTGCACAGAGCACACACAAGATCTCTCTAGAATAAGAGTCCACTGATACTTACTGTCCAGCCGGGTTGAGATACCATCAATATTGCAGATTTTTGTGTAGGAGTCCTCAATTGTGGGGTCATAGTCAGAAACAAAGTAAGACTGAAACAAAGCAGAGGAAGAAAGAGAAAAGGGTTTCAAGGATGACAGAAATAACTGGAAATCCATTTTCAAATTTTGCTCATGAAAAGTTAATAACTCTGACAAAAGCTTTTACTCAACCCTCTGCTATCAACTCCATGCACTCTGCTGAGGAATTCATCTAAAAGTTGCCATTATTGGGGTTTGGGGTTTTAAATTTGTCGGGGCCAAAATTATTTAATTTGATTTTATTCTATTTTTTAAATTTTGTATTGTATGTGTTTTTATTGTTTGGCTGTGCACCGCCCTGAGTCCTTCGGGAGTAGGGCGGTATAGAAATCTAATAAATAAATAAATAAATAAATTATTGAAAAGCACTGCTTTAGACGGAGAGTCAGTCTGGTGTAATGGTTAGTGTGATGGCTTGGAAATCAGGAGCCTGTGAGTTCTAGGCCTCCCTTAAGCATGAAAGCCAGCTGGGTGACTTTGGAATAGTTGCTCTCTTTCAGTCCAGCCCACCTCACAGGGTTGATGTTGTGGGGGAAATAGGAGGCAGGAGTATTAGTTATCTTTACCACTTTGAGATGACCAAATATGAAGGCAGGATAAAAGTATCACCATAATGATGGTGATATCAGAGAGCTATCATTGACTACCATGGTGTTCTCTTTGAGTTAAAAGGGCAGTTTTCTTTCTTTTCTTAGAAGCATTATAAGTTTGCCCTTATCTCCTTCTAAGATGTTCCATTTCTCAGTCCACTTTATAATCCTAGGGTTTCCTTGTAGTTTGTTGCCCAAAATCTAACCAGATTTTCTGATCCCAACTAGCTATTCAAGTTCATCTAAGTTTTTATTAACTCTTAAATCCATAAGTAGGGTAACTAAAATGTCAGAAAACTATAATGAAAGGAAAATTCAGCCTTCGATCATCTTATGTACCTCCAAATAAACCTAATTTGCTTCTCCCCAATGCTGAATGCAAGCAACAGAGAGCTGATTCAGACTCCTTTTACATGCCTTGCTTTTTGTTACTGTAATCTTTCTTTTTCTTTTTCTTCCAAATGCAGCTTTCTTTTTCTTTGTTTTTCTTTGAAGGTGAGAGGAATGAGCAAAATGGAGATGATCTACTGCAACATTCCCAACCTGGATGAGAAATTGCATCACTCTCACAATACCTCAAAATGATGGAATTGTAGCTGCAGGCATCTGAAAGGCACCAGACTAGAGGCAGTCAGTTTTTTTAAAAAGTATATGCTGGTGTCATGTTTTTATGAGGTGTTTATTCCTAAATAGGCATAGTTGGCAGCCAAAGTTGCTCAAATAAGACTATAAACTTATGCGCATTTAAGTTGGAAAAGTTCCAGCGGTTTCAGCAGAACTTAAATACACATTTACAACAATGGACAAAGTCCTAAGGTCTAGGATAACTTTCATTTTTCCACTCAGCAGGAAAACATACCAACAACGTTTGTTTAGCCCTGCGCCCATCCCGCCCTATCCTACCCTTCGGCGCTTTTTCCGAGTTACCTGGATGAATTGAATAGTTAGGGCGCTCTTGCCGACGCCGCCTCCACCGACCACTACCAGCTTGTATTTCTCCAGTGGCGCCGCACCTTCGCTGGGATTCATCCTGCTTGGCAAAAGTTGTTCACTTCCTTATAGGGAGGGAGTCGGACCAAAACACTCAAAAGTCTCCCCGTTCAGTCGCAGCAGGCATCCTCCGAACCCCCCAAAATATGGCAGAGAGATCCAGGGTGGGCCCTCTAAGGAGCGAAGCTCGGCGATTGCTGGCAGTCCGCTTCCCTATTTGGCCAGCGGGAGCCGCTACGGGGAGGTCCCACGTCCGGAACAAGATCGTCCGGGCCAGTGCTCCTTCCCCGCCCTGAGGTGGACCAGTCAGTGGCGGGGGGGGCGGAGGGGCTGAGCTCAGCGCGTACCCCCACGCTGCGCAAGATGCTGTGTCTCTTTGATGAGCGCGAAGCTCCAATCATTTAGTGGAAGGCATGGCTAAATTGGAGAGGTTTAAGCCCGAGATGATGAAATCAGAATGGACGTAGTTATACAGTGCAACACTTTCATCTTGAAGTGGCATTCCGATTCCTCGCAAAACACGAGGTTTGCGTAAGATCCTCTAGGACCCAACTAGGGAGCTGGGATCTTAAACCAGACCCAGAGGCGCCCACGTGGCGTCTCTACGACGCTTTTACACGACACATCCGGATAGAACCCTTGTTTCAGTCAGATTAACCCAAATTGCAGGGTTCCCATGACAGATTGTGTTACAAATTAGCCACCGTGTCTAACTAAGTCAAAAAAAAAAAAAAAAAAGGAGATAACCAAGTTGGGTTGAACGCAACGTCTGACTTTCTAGAGTAGAGGCACGTTCGCTTTAGCTGGCGGAATCTCCAACTTCTTTACGGTACACTGTTTGAGGCCACATATAGCCGCAGAAACGGAGTTCTGACATGCAGGAAACCAGTGAGCCTTCTGGAATGAGGAAGAATTTTCGGAGTAAGATGGGAAGTGGATAAAACTTGGTCTTTTTTTAAGTGAATGCAGATTTCTGAGGTGTCGGACCAAAAACATTAAATCGAAACCGGTTTGCAACCGGGAGTTTCAGAAGAGCGGAGGTTCGGAGTCCGGACTCGTTCTGGAAGGCATTCCGAGTGAAGGGGTGGATAATCGGCGAAATCTAGGACCCAGCGCTTGACTCGACCAGGGCGGAGAGGAGTATGAGTTCACCACTACATTCCTTTCATGAATTGTGCGGAGGAAGTTGAGGCACCAGCCCGTGCCTTGGATTGTGAAGGAGCGCCTTGACCTGTACGAAATTGGGGAACTTAGATTAGCTGTGATTTATTGCACCTGTTTCTGCAATGGTACAAAGGCCCCACACAATAATTTATTAGCAAGAGGCAGTTTGCTCCATATGTAGAACCTAAGATCCAAGAGAGGAAAACTCTTATTTAAACTTTGTAACACTGAAACATTTAATACTAAATAATATCTTAGCCTGTTATATTTTTATTTACTATATTTATTAGAAATGTAAATGACAAAGTACAGTCAGTGACAATGTGGCTGCTAATCCGCACTAGTTTTTACAATCTGGTTCTGTCCAATTAATTTTAGAATACAGAGAATACTCTCCATCTCCAGTCATTACCTTCAGCACATTGTTATATTTGATGGCAAATGAGACTCCACACAGCATCTGGCTGGAAAGGGTTGTTCCAGTAATACTGATATCATCAGAACTCCTCACCATTAAAACTCAATTCAGCCAATCAAAAGTAGGGTAAATTTAAATGAGTATTATTTAAAACACCAGGAATCCATTCACTGATTCCTTCAGAACCTTTTTAAATACGTAAATTTTAATCTGTTTTTAAATTATTGGGGCATTTTAATTTGTCTGGGCCAAATAATTTAATTTGATTTTATCGGGTTTTTAAATTTTGTGTATTTATGTATTTTATTGTTGGCTGTTCACCGCCCTGAGTCCTTCGGGAGTAGGGCGGTATACAAATCAAATAAACAAACAAACAAACAAACAGAACCAAGACATCCATTTTTTAGGATATTTCCATTCAGTGTAGCCCTTGGTCCTGCCCAAATAATTAAGCATCAAGTCTTCAATGGGGGACCTAAGACGACATTCCTTGGCCACATTTACCAGATTTTCTTATTTATAGGCACAGGATCAGACATGATCCAGACATGAATAAACGAAGAATGAAGAGAGTAATATTAAGTGTGCAGATGATGGAAACTTCCAGTCATGTATCTTCCAGTCATCTATCTTATCTTGCTTAACAGCCTTGCACATCTACTTGGAATGTACATTGCAGCATTTTGCAGGGAGATCTTGGGATTAATTTGCAGAACGTGTAGCCTCCTGTTGTTCTTAAATGCAATTCCCAGAGCCTCCGATCAGCACAAGTGAAGGAGAGGAATGTTGATAATGGTGTTCAATTTGGTGGGTTATAGGTCATTTTAGCAAGATGTCTTAATGGGATGATACAAATGGTTATCCTTTATTATCTCCCACAAGGAACATCCTTTCAGATATGAGTTAAAACAAGCAACATCATGAAAGCAATTGTGGAACATCCCACAATCTAGTCATTGGCATCTGAATATGGCCAGTATAGAAACTGCAGAAAATAATTGCCCTATTTTTAAGTGGAGGCCCAGTAATCAAGTCCCATGGTTTAAGTTGAAAGCAAAAAATTACTGGACCTCAAGACAATGAAAAGCTGCTAGCTGGAACATACTTTGCTCTCCCTCCCATTAAAATTTGGCTGCTGAATGGAGAAGTCTGCATTTGGGTTAATCTTTTAAATCAGTTCTGAATAATCTATCTGAGTTTATATCAACCCAAAGTTATATAGCCTTCAGAATTACTTTTGAATGAAATATATTGAGTAGAACAAGGTAATCCAGAAACAAAATTTAAAGCCCAATTCTAGTTTGATACTTTGATTATTATACCAACTCTCAGTAAGAGGGAGCCATAATTCCAGCCCACAATTGACCAAGCTTTAATCAGCTGGTTTTGGGTGAAAGAATGCTTGAAACAAATAACTCTTTTTCACAGGCCCAGTCCTCATTCTGTTTTGATAGGCCAGAAATATAACATTTATTGAAATAGAGGCAGAACTTTTGATAGCTTGAACTCTATGCCTAAATTACAACAAGAATCTTTATCTCTCCAGATTCTTCCTTCATGATATGTGGATTTCATTTCCCATAATTTGCAGGGTCTTCTGAAAATTGATCCAGTCCGGTTAGTTTATTGCCCTTTCAGCTATTCTTTCTGTAAAAGTATGTTCCACTATCCCAGATCATCCAACAATTTATTTTCTGAATTTTCTAAGCCTACCAATTGGACCAATAATGTGTGCAATTTTGTTTAGATTGAGTGGGATGTATCTATGAACACACCCTGCATGAAGATTTGAGTGTTCATTGGATTATGCTGACTGAAAATGGGGGAAATGAATAAAGGGTGATCATTGACGCATATTAAACCCATTGTATGAATATTTATCTTTATGATTTGTGCTATGTGTGAAGGTTTATCTGTTGCATGTATATTGTCCTCATGCTGCTTATGTAAAGAATGGTGACACTGTCCTTCCACATGCTGCATTTGAATTATACAATTCATGCTTATTAATTCCTTTTTAATACATATTTTATTAAAAGTTTTTGTTCTTAATATAAAACACAAATAGAAATAAAGACCATGGAAAAAAAGGGAAAGAAAAGGAAATAGCAGAAACAGAGTGAGGGAAGAGGATAAAAGAAATCAAATGAACAAAAAGCAAAAAAAAAGCAAAAAAACAAAAAACTTTTTTAGAGCAATAAATACATAATTACATAGTATCAACTTTTTGTTATATTAATAGTAACTACTTCTATAGCATTTCTATAGCAGTAACCCAAATAATTGTCAAAACCCAAAGTCAAAATTTCATTCCCTCCCCTTCACACACAATGTCTAGGAACAGTTTCCAAGCAACCACAAAACTATTTACATTCTTGTCTCTCATTGGTGCAGTCAATTTTACCAACTCCAGCCAGTTCCATCATCTTCTCAATCCATTCCACCACTGTGGGAGTTAATACTTCTTTCCATTTCTGACCATATAGGATTTTTGAAGCCGTCAACATATATAGCAACAAAGTTCCATTTTATTTCCCATTGGTGGATTTATAGTGTTTAGTATTATTATTATTATTCTCTTTAAAAATGAGTCTCGGTCAACTGGACATTTAAAAATGTGTTACAAATACCATTGACTGGTGCTAATGGTTGATACGGGTTGCTGCCAGCATCCTAGGTATCAACCAAATACCTTCTTAAAATATATGATGTTCCGAGAAGCGCAATTTTTTGCAGTTCCGCTGGTGTTATTGCAGGAAGCTGCAATTTCTTGAAGTGTTTTGTGAAATTCTTGGACATGGTATCAAGGGCCCCAAGGACAGTCGGCATCACTGTGACATGTTTCATCCATAGCCGTGTAGTTTCAATGGCCAGGTCGCGATATTTCATAATTTTTTCCAGTTCTTTTTCTTTGACTCTGGCGTCTCCTGGTACCGCGATGTCAATAAATTGTACGTTTTGGTTTTCGACAACTGTGATATCTGGTGTGTTGTGTTCCAAGTGATGATCCGTCTGTTTTAGAAAGTCCCACAAGATCTTCACCTTCTCATTTTCTATAACTTTTTCCACTTTATATTCCCATGATTTTTTGGATACAGAAAAGTTGTATTTTTTACATAATGACCAATGGATTAATTTAGCAACTCAGTCATGTCTAGCTTTGTAATCAGTTTGTGCGATTTTGCTGCATTGACATATTAAATGTGAAACAGTTTCGACTTTATTGTTACAAAGTCGGCAGTTTGGATTGTCGGTGGATTTTTGTATCTTTGCTTTCATGGCATTAGTTTATAGTGCTTGTTCTTGAGCAGCGAGTATTAAACCTTCCGTTTCTTTCTTGATGGTTCCCATCTTAAGCCATGCCCATGTAAAGTTGTCATCACATTTTCCTTCAATGTTTTTCAAGTGCTGTCCATGCAAAGCTTTGGTTTTCCATCTATTTAATCTGTCATCCAGCTGTTTTTCTTTATATTCTGCCTTTGTTTCTGTTGTTTTTATAATGTTCTCAGTTTTCACAGCCTGCAGCAATTTTTCTGTACTTTGGTTCACATAATCATTCAAACTTCGCTTTTCTTCTTCTACAGTTTGATGGATTTGCAATAGTCCTCTGCCCCCTATTTTTCTTGGCAGGTACAACCTGTCAATGTCACTTCGTGGATGTAAAGCGTTTGAAAAGTTTGCACGTTTTGTATTGAAAAGTTTGCACATTTTCCAGTCCAAGTTTTCCAGTTCAGCCAAAGTCCAGCTATGATTCCAGCTGAGTAGCATATCACTGGAACTGCCCATGTATTAATGCCTCTAATTATGTGTCCAGCATTCAGTTTTGATTTTAATATTTTGCAGACCCTCCTGATGTATTCCTTTTGCGTTGGCTTTTTGACTTTTCCATTCAAGATGTTATCTGCTTCCAATATGCCTAGGTATTTGTAACCATCATCCTTTGCTAATG